TTCCTACCATGGTATCTGAAGCAGCTTGCACACTGGTGAACCTTGGGGGTGTGTTGAATATGCCTTGAGGTCATTGAGTGGGCAAAAAGCGTGAATGGTTTCCTTGCTGCACTGGGCAGAGAGATTATCCATGTAGTTTCTGGATCAGAATCAATCGTGTTCTTTGAGAGTATGCACCTCAGAGGTCTGTCGCCTGTTTGTGCTTCAACTTCATCAGTAACAACAGTGTCGGTAATATCGATTGTGAACCCTTCTGCACTGATGACCTTTCTTGGGCATCCATTGACCTTGTAATGATGCCAGACTGTGTGGGTCTCAATCTTTTGTGCCTTAAGAATGTCGGCAATTTCTTCTTGGAAAGCCAGAAGCTTAGCCTGAATTGGCTTGTCCCTTAGGTGTAAGGTAAAACCAGAAGGACACCGTGTCACTTCTCTAAGCTCCTGAGGGTGGAGCTTAAGTCTTCTGTTCAGTGTAGACTTGATTCCATAAGGCTCTAAGTGGCTATTATCCATGTGGACAAAGACCCAGAGATCATCCTGCTTCTTCTTCAGTTGGTTGGCAGTGATAAGGGTGCCAGGCTGTGTTTTCTTCATGGTAGTGTTGACTGTCCATGGATGCTGTCGTTGGCCAGAGGAGACAGCTTAGGCGAAGGTCATGGTGGGCTTCCCTATCCCTATCCCGCCAGGAGTGGTCTTTTTTTTGGGCAGATCTCGGGTTTCCAGCCACTCGTTCAGGCATTTGGAGAAGAAAGCGCTGAACTCCTTGGCATGAGAGTATAGTTCGGTTCCAGCTTTTTCCAGTGTCTTATCGACTGCTGCAGCACACTCTTGAAACATTGTCATCCTGGCTTCATAGAGATGCTTGTCTTTAACCAGTATTTTGGCAACTTGGTCCTGGCATTTTAAAGAAGAGACTTTGTTCCCTGCATCACCTCTAATGACTTGGTCTGTAAGGATTTCGATTGACTGAGGTGATTCCATATCAATGGTGCTGCTATTATTGATATTTCGGGATTTTCCTTTCAGAGGGAAAACAGTGGTGAAGTCAGCCTCAGAGACCTGTGACGGGCTGCTGTTGATGTCGTCGAGCAGTGCCTGGCGGAGCTTGCTTGGGGTTGCCGGGCCATATGTTCTTTTAGGGACCGGGGATTTGAGCACGCCGCCAGTAGTCGTCTTTGGGACGGCCACTGGCGTATTTGGGGGCCTATCGTGAAGGGGTGCCATCCAGTTTGTGAGAAAAATTTTCTGCGCCTTGGCAAGGATAGTCAGGTACTGAAATAAATGCCTGTTTTAGTGCAGATATAGAGGTTGCGCCCTAACAGTGGGGCGCCAAGAAAAATAGTTGTTTTTGCAAGGTGGTTGGTTGCTTCTCGGGTCACTGAGAGATCCTAGAGCTGAGCGACAGGAGCCATCCTGGCCTCAAGGGCGCCCAAAGGTATCTACGAGGCTGGAGATGGATATATAGATGACGCCGAGGCTCGGATAATGACGAGGAAGTAGTCCAAACGGGAGAAGTATTATCGTCTTTGAGGTGAAACTGTCATATCCCACCAGGCAGGTTGGAGGAGATCTTGCTCATGAGTACAATGGCGACTCTGCTCACCAAACCTCGTGAAGTGAGAGGATGGCGGCGAGGGCATGGCCGGTAGGCTAATTATCGGTCAGGTAGTTCTCGCCTGGCGGATGATACGATAATCAATATAGAAGAATGTATATTTTATCATCTTATGATCAGTCCTTTACAGTCCAAACGTCCCGCCAGCTCCCTTACCCCTGGCCCTGGGCCCCTATTCCCCCAAGCTTCTCCCTTATAGCAAAAGCCAAAAAGACAAGAAAGGACTTCAGAAGGGAATACACCGTTCCTCGACCAAGGTACTTCAGAAGGGAAAGCAATGTTCCTCGACCGAGGTTCCCCACAATCTCATTAAGCAGAACGAGACGCTCTGCGTGTAGACGAACCTCGTCATCCCACGCTGCTAGAGTCTTCTTTCCCTCGTACATCTCTTCAAGGGAATTGGCATGGAACGCAGCCTGTTCGGTTGCGGCTCCCATATTCGGCCGAAGCGTCGTGAAAGCATCCCCTACCAACAGAACCTTGCCCTCGTAGAAGCTGGCCGTTTCGCACCTCACGTCGTTTACCTTAGTGACAAAGGGGTCGGGTGTCGTATCCACCAGCTCTCGGAAATATTGGCAGATCTGGAGGCCACCTCGCGCCCGCTTCCAGACATCTGGGCTGACCAATCCGCGTGGGAGGGTGTTCTGGTGGCGTTTGCCGTGTATATTGGTGAATATCTACGCCATTTCGGCCGAGTCATCGCGGACGTCGTAGTAGCAAACCCAGTTGAGCAGTCGCTTGCCGCTCTCGATGCTATCTTCGGAGGGGATGATATAGCTTGACAATCGGGTTAGACACGACACGTTTGGAATGGATTAACAGGCAGGCGACCCTACTTACCAAACAAGGTACGACAGCCCTGAGAAGTTCAGAGTCACCTGATCCGAGAAGTACTTCACTGCTCCAGTGGATACCATCTTCTCAGGTAAGGTACCTCTCCAGGCGATGTATCCAGCATGACCTCGGGTGTGTGGTGCTCGTACAAGCCGGCGCACCGTCGAGTGAATGCCGTCCGCCCCAATTACTAGGTCCGCATCGATGAAGGCTTCTTTTCCCGTGTCGGTATCGGTGTAGATGACCCTGACGGTGCGGTCTCGGTCGGAATACTCCAAGGCAACCACCCGCTTCCCAGCAAGGTATGCAGCCACGCCATCGCCCTCATCATCAGCAGGTGGTTCCGGACATGTGGCCGAAGCCGTACCATCGAAATTAGCCCTGAGGATCCGCTGCATGAGTCCCCAGCTGGTGAGCCTCTGTTTGCCGCGAGTGGTCAATAGCCGGGGATGCCTGTACCACGCGAACTGCCTTGTCTCGTACGTAAAGGCCGGCGTGACACCCGTTCTGTCGTACTTGGAAAGAAAAGAGTCCAGGTAGGACACGAAACCAATCCCGGCATGGTGGCTATGTCGCTCGCCTGTCTCTTGCTCGAGGATTGTCACGTTGTTGCCTCGACGTTTATGCTGCAGAGCGTGTATAAGTCCCGCGAGGGAGCCGCCGACCTGATCACCGGTGGTGCGATGTTAGTTATACGAACGATTCCAGTCCTGATATCAATTGACGTACCACTACTACCGTTTGAGGCATATTGGGTGTCGTTGGCTGTTGGCGATGATGGACTCCAAATGAGAGAGACGGAAGGGGATGGATGGCTTAGGAGATGGAGCTACGAGAGGAGAATCTACGTTGTCTTTACCATCCCCCACCCACATCTCGTACACCCCCACATCTCGTACACTCCCATACAAAACTACCATATATAACACCACTTTTTCATAACTTTTGATATATAAGGTCTATATATATGAAACTTCGTACGTATATAGTTATCTAAGTTAGTATGTAATACTTCAAGGCCGTTTACTTTTAAGTATTTTATTTCTTGAATTATTTACGGTCGCGTAAGATCTAGTCCTCCATACAATGTGTATGGGAAACAAGGTCGTCATAAACCTCGGGCCTAATCTATTATAACTTTATATTGCCTTATGCCACGGCTTTAAGACGTATATCGTTTTGAAGCCGTATCATTCTTCTACTCATAGTAATTTTGCTAAATTTATACAATGTGAATAGCCTCCGTTACGTGTAGGTGCAAAATGGGGTGTTTTGGTGGTGATAGTGGGGTTTGGCTGTACGAGATGTGGGGGTGTACGAGAAGTAGGGGGGGGGATGGGTATGTCTTCGACCCGTGGCCTTGGCCAGGTGCATGTTGGTCGTCCCAACACTTCCAACTCTTTTCCGCCACCAACAGAGTGGGCAGGGTTATATGCATGAGTGCATGAGGTCAAGTTGTGTAACCACCCTATCGGTACACCCTATGCCTCTAGCCACATGCATGACGGCAAAGAGTCAACTTAGCAAACCTAGATACTTGGCGGGAATCATGGTATCACCTTTCTAGAAGCACTACCACAAAGGCACATTGGAAGATAAAATCAAGACGTAATCCATTTAGGCAGACAGTACAACTACATGTAAAGAAACGGTTGCTCCACAATGTCCCATCACGCCATATCACTCGAAGCGCTCCGTTGTGTGCAGGTGTGAAAAGAAGCACGCTTATACATACATTATACCCCGTAGGACTTCTTGTCTCACCGAGAATGCCCTTAGTCCTGACCCGAAGCCCCTTGATTGAGCATCACCCAGATCATACTTCGTGTTAACCACTAGATCGCTGTTAGCATGAGGCTGCAGTAAGAATGTACGATTCGCTTACTTGTGGTTGAATATGGTCAGACTTCGCCCAGGGAAAACCCGTCGTTTCCGTTTTTCACGTTTTTCACGACAAAGAAGTCGTTGACGACCTCGGCAGCCTCTTCGAACTGCAGCAGGTGGCGGTACTGACTGCGAATGGTGGCGATGAAGTAGTTCACTAATAGAGTTTGCTGAATATACCGCGCTCTCGAACCTTTTTGCGACAATGACAAGGATGGTGTTCATGAGCTCCCAGCCCTCGTTGCCAATATGCATCGTCTTTGTTTTTTTTTTTCAATGTTCACCTTCAACATTTCAGCCCTTGTTGCAAGGTCGCCATTCGCATGCCCGTCCAGTCTGCTTCGATCCCAGAAAGGGAACCCCCATAGTGTCATGCAGTTCTCGCAGTTGAAAAGGGTATTCCGAACACGGAATACGGAGTCCCTACCACGTACGTGGGCCTGAATCATGGTGTGTAGCCAGGCGTCACCAGGGCCCGAGTCATCTTCAAGGCATCTTGCAAAGATCTCCATGGTACTGGCTTCAACAAGTCCTTCACGGTTTGGAATCCAAGGCCAATCATGGTCTGAGTTCCGAGCCTTCGTCCGGTAGTGTTGGATGGGAGGGAAATCCACGTTCCGGGTGTTGGGTTGATCATCATCCGACGAATCGCGCAGCTGATTGCTTTCTCATGGACTGGGCGTGATTTCTAGTCGTCGTAGATCGTTTAGTCCGCGGTATAGGATGAACTCTGGCACGATACTTGCAACGCGAACCCAGGAGAAATATAAGCTCTCGACATCAACAACTGTAAGACGGTTAGAAGGAGAAAGTACCTTGACAGCAATGGATGTTCCGCTTACCTGCCCGAATGTGGTTCTCAAGCAAGATCTGAATGCAGCAGACCTGCTGCTGTTCCCAAGGAGCAAAATTCTCCCAGAACTGCTCAAAGGCTTGCTCGAGGACCGGGATCAGACGCTTGGGGTCCTCCTTGCGCGAGGGAAAGAAGAACCTATACTCCTCGGGGAAAATGTCGGATACAAGTTGCAATAGGCAATAACTCAGGTCCGATGAATGACTCAAGCATTGCTCGGGAGATCTCGAGCTCGTAGGTTGCGATGAGGTCGTAGAAGACTGGTCCTGTCAGAGCGAGACAGATGGTCGCATTCGCATCGGCAGTGTTGCGGATTATCATGCGTTGCAACTCCAATGGAAGACGTTCAAGGCGAGATTTGTGAGAGCGACGAGAATGGCTGTCCATATCAAGGTTAGGTTACTCATGATATCCATGGGAGTGGACTAGACAATTTTCATGTGGTAGGTAGCCTTTGACTTATCTTGCGGCGGCAGCCCTGGTGCGAGGCATTGTTACCCGCCTTACCAGATGAATCTGGTGGTGCAGTTGAGGAATGGGTGGCACGTAGGAGCCTCGAGGTTCAAGTGGTAAAGTTGAGATAGTAATGGGAGGAAGGAGCAGAGGAGAGGACCGAGTGAAGGGTGCCAATCGCGATGCAGTAGGTAACCGAGTGATGATAACTGAAAGACGCAGGGGTCATGAACGTAAGGTATCGAGAGTACAATCAGAAGTACATGTTAAGTATTCTGGAGCTCCACGCAGCTGTATAAGGAAGGAAGGAAGGAAGGAACCCAGGCACCCAAGAAAGGCAAGGGATTATGGAGAGAAGAATGCAGGTGGCAATCCGACTTGGGACCTCAAGAGCCTACCAGGGGTGACTGTTAGTGCAGTCCCTGATACTCGACACGATTGGATGCAATGCATGTGGTTGTGGAGCCTTGTTGATTTGACTTGAAAACGAATGGAGGCAAGAAGAGCGAGGGTGGTGTTGCGGCTGATAGTGCGGCAGTGCGGCAGTGCCCCTATGTGGCTCGAAAAGGGGTGATTACCATACCCAGCCGCACTGATTGTGCGGGCTCACCTAGTTCTAGTCTCCGGACTGTAGGGATTAAAGTATTTGATTGTGGCTATGGCCTGCTGCGTGGTCCCAGGTAGTTCGTTCGGTGACCAGTCTGCTGATACCTCGCGAGACTCCATGCTTTGTGCTGCCCTGATAGATTGCCGGGTTGATGAGCGTCCCAGGAGTCATCGCGTTTCTCTACATCGAACCAGCTCTCAATTCGAAGTCGCTAATCGCAGCCAGTACTATCGGATACGAATTGGACGATGAGACGTTTTCACTGTCACCCAATTCGAGCAGCAGCTGGAAACTATATCGCATAATGCAGGTAGTCGTGACGTCCCGAGGCGAATGAATCCAGATGGTGACGATGAAAATAAGTTGGGTAACGCTTCTGAAGCGACGAGGGTACCCGGAATTGCTTATCATAAAACCGGAACTGAAGCATGAGGTCAAGAGAGTGACCAAGGTCGATGGTATACTGTATATATAGAAAAAGACAAGTTGCAATCTACACAGACACCGCACATGGTATTTGATAGATGACAAACGCAATCACCCTCGCTCGATTGCAATGAACTTGCTTCCACTTTCCCCCACACAGGGAAACTCGTTGAAAATCGAACCCAAACTAGAGCTCCTCAAGCCGGGGACAACAAGGACCAACGCCCATATGGCCGCCTGTCCTTTCGTCTGCACAGTCAACTTCGGAATCCCGTAGTATTGACTGACGACCTTCGTCTCCGTGGTCACTGGGCCTAGAGCAAGACGTTGAAACGAACCGCCCTGCTTGCTCCGCCCAGCAGGCCGGACTTCCATACCTGTCATGATGATCAGGCCCACCATCGATTGCTTGCAGAGCATAGCAGCGCAAGCTGCATAATTAGCGAGCTGATGGGTTTCGCCGATGGAGATGTTTCTATTCGGAAACACAGGGGCCATGTCAACGGCCATACCCGCTGTTATGTTCGTTAGGTCAGATCGTGGCTCGATGGTGTCTCTCGGAATCCACACATACCGGCGCCCAACCCGGGCCGAACACATATCGTATGACCTGAATGACTGGGTCGGCCTTCGAAGTCAACTCTGAAAGAGCTTCTGGCGGCCTGCCAGCGCGGCGCATTGGCATCCCAGGCCTCCGACTATCGCGACATCCCCGGCCGACAGCTGCCTCAGGGAGATGGACGACACCAAACACGGATTCATACGATACATTTTCATCGGCGCTGACACTAAAAGCGAGTCACAAAGCAATCAGGTTGAGGCTATTATCAGAGTGTGGTGCGGGTTGTTATCCCTTATTTTATTTTATTTTTCATGGCGCGCAATAAACAGCTAAACAACTAAACAAATAAGCAATCTTAGGCACTGACACAAAGAAAGACCACCTACCCTTCACCTCATCCTTGAGCACCAAGTAGGCAGACAGCCCCCTAAGCCTGGCGCGAGCCCGCCGAGCGCCGGCGCACCCACAGGCGCAGGACCAGGAGACCAACCGCCACAGCGACCGGAGGGTGCAAGAAAAGCACCGCCCCCAAGATTGCAAGAAGCAATAAGTACACCATAATGACGACCCAGTACTTGATGATGCTCAAGACCTTTCGCACAATCGAATAAATCGAGAACAAGATAACAAGCGTGAAGAACAACAGGGCGACGAGGCTGAAGAAGGAGGTGGACAGGGGCAGGCTCTGCAGGAAGGACGCAGCGCGGTCCGTGAGGGAAGGCAATGCGTCGTGCAGTAGCCACCCGGTGAAGGACGCGGAGAGGGATTCCATGACGGACACGTGGGACGCCATGGTTGGTGGAGTGGGTGTTGAGTTGATGGGGTTTTCTAGGTGAGTTGAGATGTTGAGTTTTGGATTCGGGACTTGAGTTTCCTGTGTTTGTGGTGATGATGGAGGGAAAGAGAAATGATGAAGAGGAGCGGCGGATCTGCTATATATATGCACGTAGCCTAGGCGATCATGTTAATGAACACCAGTGTTGTTCGATAACAACTTGCTGCATTGGCGGGCATTCAAAGGTGCAGTTTCTGAACACCGCGGTAGAGACAAAGCATACGTTGGTGGTTTGCAGACCCTTCCTTTGTATGGACACAACAGTACAACGAACCAGTCGAGACAATGCTACTGTTACGCAAGTGCCTTTGTGCTTGTAGATTCGGGCTTGTAGCAACAAGGATATTGTTGCTGACAATTGCTGTGAACGTCATGCTTTGTGTATCGGCCGAGTATTTTTAATAGTTAATTTAATTCTTGCTCCTCACAGTCGCCGTAGAAAAGTGGTGACAATGGAGAAGCAGAAGACTGTGAAGATTGATGCTGTCGAGCCTGGCTCCTCCCTGTCAGCAATATGTGATTGTTGCCGTCACTTGCCTTCACCACGCCCAAGCGACTGAGAGGAAAAGGCACTCGATATGTGCAGAAAGAGGAGAGCCTACTCCTTACCGCTCCCCTTTTTCCAGCCACACGAACAAGTAGCTCTTGTTGGCGGCCGGGCATCTTTCGCCGTCCGGGCATCTCCGTCGTATCCGCCGGGTCAACGTGGCTAGAAGAGGTGAAGTACGATTCCGTTGATAGAGTCGTGGCTAAGGTCGTAAGCACTATAGCCGCTGTCATCTCTGCCAGTGCGATCCCTTTGCTCTGTGGCTGATTACAGCAGGGGAACCGGTCGGGCTTCTCAAACGACGCCGTCATATCCTACCCAGCAGGTTCGAGACCCGATGATATCGTACAACCCAACACGGTTCAGTCTGATGCCTTGCGTAGCAAGGTGCACTCGAGACAAGCCGGCAGTGTGGTATTGCTTGTGCCAGTCAATTAGACGGTCAACGGCGACGGCAACTAGAGCCATGTCGGCCACAAGACGAAAACTACTGCAACGAGTAAGTCGTATCGAAATCCTCACAAGGTTGCCGGTGTATTCGGGAAAAGTCAGCAGATTGGTCTAGTTGAGACCAATATCGAAAGACCCCCATGATGATTCCCGAGCCTCGATGTTGAATCGTGAGCGAATATTCGGTCTCGACCTCCCGAACAAGTGACGACTGGTAGAGGAGCACGCGACAGCTCTGCTGACCCGGGATCCACGCGCGTAGTACCGGGACACTTCGTATAGGACGTCGCAAGGGGATTGACTTCTTGAGTGTTTGTGACGAGCAGTGACAAAGGTTAAGTTGATTTCCGAGACGATTTGAGCTTGCTTTGTTGTCGTCTTCGCTGTAGTATCCTGAGTTGGGAGCCCTTGTTGGTCGCCTTTATTTACGCGACAACCCCACATTGAACTCATCAGCCTATGATTCTTCGGCATTGCGAACCTAATGGCCAATTATTCGCCGGCAATCATACAACAAGCGGCGACTAGTCATCTTCTTGACCCAGCATTAGTGGTTTAGTGGTAAAATCTGCCGTTGCCATGCATCGCATCTTCGGCAGGCCCCGCGTTCGATTCGCGGCTAATGCAACAGCAATATTTTTTATTTTTACCACTCATTGTGGTGGCATTTTAAAATATCTTTGCTGATTGCGCCGTCGTCGGTGGTTGTGTGTTTCGCAGGATACTTCGCTTCCCTTATTCCATCGCCCGACGACTGTACGAAACGTGATGACGGGTTTATGAGAGCCTCTGGAAGCCGAGATCCTAGCAGGGGATTCATGCAGCCCGCCTCCATCGGCAACCCTACCAATCAATTGCTTGTTTGTTGTTGAGGCCAAACTGAACGTGATTTCAGGGAAGAGGCTTCTCCGTCCGCTCTGCACGTCAACGCTTACCAGACTGCGCACGGCTGCTGTGTCGACTTCTACTCCACCCTGAGAAGGGCTGGTGGCTGGGACTCGGCAGCTCATCCGGATGAGAGGAGAATGCAAGACTGAAGGCCTCCGGGTAAGACCTCAGGCGAAACAGTGACATGACGATGGTCTCCCGTGTTCTGAGCGATAACGATCGTGATGATTGCTGAGAAAAGCAGTCGGATGCAGTCAGAGTTGACTCAACCACGCCATGTGCAGACAGTCAAAGCGCGGCACGATAGCCTCTCTTTACCCCACACAAAGAATCCCCAAACGTTCGAGAAGGCGACGATGGTATCACCCAAACGAGCCGGGACCCCATGTGTTGCCAAGCAAAGGCTCTATACGGAAGACGCATCACCCATGAGGTGAGACACCGTCTAAAGAACATGAAGTGTGACGCCTCCCGCCAACCCAGGTAGGTCTATGGGACTAGATGGATAAGAGGACCAAAACAGGAACGGCCACATACAAGTCGCATCTAATCAAAGAGCATCACGGGTTTCAGGATCCGAATCTCACTTTCCCTCGTACTGGAAGATCATATCATTCGATAGCAGAGACGCAGCCATAGCCGGCAAGCAGGCGACCGCGAGCATCGTGCCCGACTCATCAGCGGGCAGCGCAGTCGACCATGGTTGAGTCGGACGAAGATCTTCTAGAGAGCCTGGGTTATCGACAGGAGTTCCGACGCGAGTTCACTCGATGGAGTACTCTCAGCCACGCCATATCCATACTGGGCGTGTTGGGATCGGGTGAGTACAGCGTCATTCAGGTTGATTCGGTCTCTAGCGAAACCCAGGCTGGCCAACACAGTCCCGGCATCTTGGGGCTCACCTCTGGCTGCTGGCGGGCCGAGTACTGCCATCTGGGCCTGGTTCTCGGGGTCCTTCTTCTCGTTATGCATCGCGCTGTCAGGTAGGTAGACGGCTCATCGTCCAGCCTTGGCTCTTCTGCTCACATGGTTCGAAGTCGCCGAACTGGTCTCTGCATATCCGATGTCTGGCGGCATGTACTTCATCACGAAGCATGTTTTGCCCCATAAGAAGGTTTCGGTTGCGGCATGGATGATCGGCCGGTCCAACTTCCTCGGCCAGTAAGTCCGCCACCAAGCATTCATAGCTGGCTATCGTAACCCACGTGTATTAGGACCGCTAGTGTTGGTGAGTACTGCAGTACTATCAAGCTTGGAGGTGTGACTGACGGAACACCGTAGCCAGTGTAGGCTACTCCGTCGCACAAATGGTCAGTCGTCCAGGGCGAAACTCTCCAGTCGGCTGACATCCCCCAGACCTTAGCCGCGGAGTCGATGGGCTCCGTGCGTGAGGATGGAACATTCGCGTATGTGCCAATTGCGCAGTCTACCGTTGGTGTTAGCGTCGGTATCCTCATATGCCATAGGGTCATCTGCTCGTTATCCTCGAAGCAGCTCAGTGACCTGATACGCTGGTTCGCGCCTATAAACCGCAAGTCCGCCACCCCTTATATCAATGTTCGACTTTTTCGGCTAGGCCAGCTTCTCGCGTAGCGCGTTTGCTGACAATATGCAGTCATCGGTTCTGTCGTGATCTCTATAGCTCTCCTCGTCCTCACGCCCAACAAGCTGCCGGCAAGCGAGGTCTTTGGAAACGTCATAGACGGGTCTGGATGGAATAGCGAAGGCTTCTCGTTTCGGATCGGATATCTCAGCGTAGCATGGGTTCGTGTCCCAAATTCGACGATGACCTGTTTTCGTCGCAAAGAGCAGGTCCTCAGCTAACGTCCGCAGACCATGACCGACTACGACGCCACAGCCCACATGTCAGAAGAGCAGCAAAACGCCGCCGCGAGCGGCCCGGTGGCCATCGTCCAAGCCATAATCATCTCATGGGTATCCGGCTGGCTCCCAACGTCGCCTTCGGGTTCGGGGCCCGCACCCTCGAGTCCATACTGACCTCACCGATGGGCAACCCCACCGCCCAGGTCTTCTTCAATGCCTGCGGGCGAGCTGGCGGTCTCGGGATGTGGTTCTGGGTTATCCTCGTGCAGTTATTCACGGGTGTCACGGCGATGCTTTCGAATACGAGGACGTGCTTTGCTCTGGCTCGAGACGAAGCGCTTCCCTTCTCTGGGTAAGCCCGCCGCGCTGGCAGCTCGGGGCATAAGCTAATTTGCACCAGAACACTTCGAAAGATCAATGAATATACTCAAACACCTCTATACAGTGTATGGTCAGTCGTCCTAGCCTGCTGCCTGCAGAACCTCATAGCCCCGGGCAGCGTGCAGACGATCAACGGCATCTACGGCATCACCGCGCCGGTCATGGACATATCGTACATTGCCTTCATCGCAGCACGGATATACTACGAGAAGGACCACCCAATCAGCAAGGGCCCGTTCCAGCTCTGACGTTTCCAGAAACCCATCGATGTCATTGCGATCGTCTGGGTCGTGTTTGTCTCCGTGATCCTCTTTCTTCCGCCAACCTACCTGGTGACGGTTTTGAACATGAACTATGCCGTGGCAATCGCTGGCTTCATTGCCCTGTTTGCTGCTACTTGGTGGTATTTGCAGGCTAGGAGGTAGGTCTGCCTCGCCCGACAGCGCGCCGTCTGCATGCTGACATGGCTAGGTTTTATGTCAGGCCGCGTGTTGAGGAACTTCGGAGTGACGACAGTGACCAGTGAAGTGCCAGACGGACTGGCCTGTGTCCCTCCATCGGCGAGATGTAGAAAGGAGGAGTACTTGCGCACAGAATCTGGGCATCTGCAGGGCAGGAACAGCAGGGACACCGGCACATAGATGAAGTGCAATACATGATGATCCCTGCGTGCTTGGCTCTGGAGTTCACCAGTGCAAGCGAGCAGCTACTACTGAGCCCATCTGGATCCTCAGAAATGTACCCGAATGGTCACCCAGATGATCGGTCAGCAACCACGCGGTTCACCAAGTGAAGCGACATCTTGAGCGGCCATGGGTACCGGTGAGTTGAGCCTGCTCAACGGGTTCATGGTCGTGAAAGCAGGGAAAGACGACAAGAAGCGAGGCGATCCAGACAGCAGGCAACCTTACGCACTCCACTTACTACTAGGTAGTCCAGGGGTCGATATCCAGGGGTATATCGGATGCGGTTCATAAGCCCTATCGAGCACCTGGGGACCGTCGGCGTGACCTGGCACCATACGAAGGCCTGTTCTATTGCCACTCAGATCCAAAGGGACGTATACATGGCCCCTCGCACTTTGGCCTTTAGGACCTGGATGGTGTGTGGTCAGTGGCGCTGGCACCAACATACATCGTGACATGATGTGGTTTTATCAACAGGGGCAGTTCCTGTGTATATATATATATTAGCCCGACTCGCCCCGTTCCCGGCTGACCAATACTTCAAATGCGCAAGTACGTCCACAGAAGCTGATGAGACCATCGAGCAGTGCCCGTGGCAACGCATTCCCACCGAGTCCTCTCGGATCAACAAGCGCCATATGCGACACACGCCATGAAGATCGTTGCGGTAAGTGAGCAAGCAAGCAAGCCATCTCATAGGTGTGAAACTGCCGCAGAGTAAGCGCACTGCAGACCTGACGACGCACGCTGCAAGCACGCTGACATTCGACCTGTACGAACCAACCTCTATTCAGCGGATACGAGAACGTGCCTCATGCCTCTGCAGAAACCTACTCAAGTCAGCAAACCTTGCATCCCGTCGCGTTGGACCAGAGTACCGCGATGCGATCTCGCACCGAAGTCCATAGGACAAAGACAAGCTCCCATGGTAGAAGTCCTCAGAGCGCTGGGGCCAGAGTACAGAGTATGTTGCGCGTATGGTGGCGGATGGGGACGGCAGCTTGTCGGTTGTATGCGAGAGTGCATCGTTGGCAGCGGCTTGACGTGTACGTTCGGCCAGAGAAACACATACGTGTGTGAGCACGAGTGAGGCGGTACGGTATGTCTACCGATTGGCGAAGCGGGAACTGTGCTTTTGGCGGCCGGCACCTAGCATCTATCTGCACCCATGAATCGAACGTCGCCTGAGGAGTTTGGTTTCGTGAACGTCCCCTATGACCCACGGAAGACTTCGCGCCTTCGCACCTTCGCGTAGGAGGAGCTGGTGTTGACAGCTCGCGACGGGAGGTCCGTAAGTTGACGTGTCCAGACAATGCTTGAGTGCCGAGATCGGAATATAAGATAGGTACGCCTCTACGTGAAACGTCCTTCATGTTTGCATTCTCTAGAGTCTACAGTGATCACCGATTAGTACCTGTTAGTAGTAACGGCTGAGCTGCCTTGAACCATGTCCGCACAAGCGAGATGCACGCTTGACAGCTCGAGGGGCAGATTCCCGAAGGCAGGATCGATGCTCGGCGAACATGGAGAGGAGCAGGGCAGGTGAACAAGTGTCTCTGAGCTGCGAGATGGCCCTTTATCGAGCTGGACGTCCCATGTCAGGTAAGCAGGTAAGGCAGCATGCGTGACGCCGGCCGAGTAGCGGATGCCGGCGGACTGGTCCGTATCGAACTATCCTACGGTAATAATAGTGGTTCCCTGACGACTAATAAATCCGTAGAGTGGCAGTCCGAGGACGGTAGCTCGGACATGGACGTCGATTCTTATCCGAGGGACTTATGTGTACCTGGATTACGATCTGATCTGATGATCAATGATCACGATGGAGTCGATATTGTGCAGATGAGCCTATCATTGCTCTCTATCTTTTTGTGTATAGCTTCCGATGAAGGAGATTGGCGAAGCCAGAAAGTTGTGCCGAGGTTGGCGATGATCCCTGGAGCTTGAACTCGGTCCGCGCTCATTCATCTGGAAGAAGCTAGCCCTAGAAGATATGCCGTGAAGGGCTGGCTATTTTGGATTGATCGCCCGTACAGGACAGTGGTCTGCAATGGCGTCGTCGATAGTGTTTGCATTGATTCGACAGACTAGCAGCAAGCGCAGGCTTTACATGAATAGTTTGTAGAGCCGGCGCTTAGACAGCTATCACGGAAGACAATGATCTTGATTCATGGAATCCCTGCGAGTTTCATCGCGCTGTGACGCGCAGTCGAAGTTGAAATTTGGGAGTCATGGTGAGCCGAGAGCGGAGGGCGAGAGCGATGGTCGAGACTGCACGTCAGGGCAATCCACATCTATACTGTAGAAGTAGTTGAGGTCTTGCAGCTAGACTGATAGATGAAACATTGAAAAGACGAAAAGGCGAAAAGGCGAAAAGGCGAGGCGCGTTGGCGCAGAAAAATTGTCAAGTCAGGGGACGAGAGGGTAGCTGGACATTTCTCGGTGAAAGCCATAAGCTTCGGGGCGCGAGAAGGACCCGCCACTCCGCCCACGCTCCGATCGCCTGGGTCCACGGTCCACGTCTTACAAGTTCCGGCTGCAGTCTTGTTACTGCCTTACCAGGCGTGGTGATAGAAGTCAATTCTGAACTTTTTGGATTCCTTCCTAGGCAACTAGGTACGGTAATGATAAGGCGCAGTGGGATGTCACATCCATAGTGGGATGCCTCGTGTTCCCGAGTCTGTTCTGCATTGTGCGATAATAACCCTATCTGACCGGGTACCGAGAAGTATGTAAATGTTCCATGTTTGCTTTCGGCCACTCATTGCTTCGGGGCCGACGCGGCCGAGCTCGTTTGCACGGTGTTTGCCCAAGCAGTGCTGGCGAGTTGCGACTTGCGACAGGGGCACGCCGGAGCATTTAGACCAATAACGGTAGAGTCCCGACTGCTGTTTCTAGAATGTCCAGGCTCGGCAGGGCTTAGGGCATAAGCTACGCTTGGATGAGGATGCGTGCGCTGTCATCCGTCTTGTGAGATGGCATTCCCTTGCGTGCAAGGGGAATTTTCACAATCGCAGTGCGTTTCATCATGGCCATGTTGGCCGCTACATGCTGGTGCATTTCCAAGCTGAAGTGCCAGACTACGTGTACCGTTTGAGGCTGAGGTCGTTTTCACGATGCGAGGTCTGTCTGTTATGTCTGTTATGTCTGTTATGCAACGGCAACGTGTGCGAAACCGAATGTGCTCACCGTCATGGGTAAAGTTGATGAGGCAGTTATGCTGACTGCAGTTGTCCATATTGGACTAGGATGGGCTCGCCTTGCAGCCTGGGATCATTTCTTTAAATTTTGAACATTCTTTTTGACGAGAGCGATACCGGCTTGAGAAGTTCTGCCTCCAAGGCCTGTCGCGGGGCAACTCAGGACTCGTGAGAAAAGTCGGCGAACGAGTTCCTCTTGAAAGGGGTTGTCTGTTGTCATGACCTGTCATCATGATAGTTTCCAGCTGCCACTAGATGCATTGGCAGAGCCTCAGTCATGGATAGCCCAGCGCTGTTAGGGCTCTGCGTTCCTCCCGAGTAACGCGAAGATGGGATGGCATTGTCCCGCCTCTGTTGTCGTGACGTCCGAGGCTGTCACGGTCACAGCGGTTGCGGAGTTATCTCATAGAGGGTGATATCAGTTCTTGATCAATCATGAGAGGATATTGACACGATTCATCGGCTTCATCGACATGACATGTTTGCATACCCTTGAGTCTGATCACCAGCGCCGGCAGTCGTGCACTCTGGAGTCTGGAGTCTAGGAGTCTAGGAGTCTGGGAGTCTGGACTCTGGAGCGGAGCGTCCGCACCGCACCGCCCGCCGCGCCGCTTCGCATACATAGCTTCAACTTGTCAGTCCTGTCTGATAGTTCAGATGCAGAATGTCTACATGTCGTCACTGCCCACTAATGGGGTTCGGCATTGACAATTACGGTAGACCGCCGACTGGCAGCGCGCACGCTGCACGCTTTGAGTTTGGCTCATGTGGCCCAGGTGGTCGGGCTTGGATAGCACCGAGTACTTTTATACAGTACATATGTACCAAGTAGCTTGCGGACCGGTCGCATTCCGAAGCCGCAAGTTGTGCATATGCAATGTCATCAACCATCATGCGCCGTTGGCGTTGAGAATGCGAGAGTATCCCACTGTGGGGGGGTTAGGGCGCCCGTTTGTGAACTGAGCAAGGGGCCCAGGGGTGCCAAGTAAAAGTTCCAACTGGAATTATGCTGCACAGCTCGATATCTCCGAGCCCGAGTGCATTGGCATTGGCATTGGCATTGGGTTATCACAGACCCGTTCGTACACGCTTACAGGGCCAGGCTTACTGAGCACACGACTTCTTCATGTACTTCCAGTCTCCAGCTACTTGACGTCGGCCACTTTTTTATGTATACGCAGTAATATCGAGCCGGATGTAGCTGCATGTATCTCCTGGTATCTGATCAACCCATACTAGGGTACCGCCCATGCCTGGCATGCCATACCAATCACCACCAGCATTGAATATAACCATGTACCCTGTCACCGTTTTGTTGTCGAGGCCCCGTCGTGGCATCGACTTGTCGGCATGACGAAACAACCGCCGAATAGACCAACCAAGTAGAGCTAGAATATAAGAAGAAAAGGGCCTCGGGCTCGCCTCTTCGCGACTGCGTTCCTCGTTACCCACTTGACCTCCTGACGAGTATTACTTGTACTTGATTCCCGTTACCAACAACACTCACAGTCACATCGAACATTACGTGAACCTCGCAGTCACAGCTTGAAGAGAGGTCATTAGCTATATACATGGTCTTTCGCCTACTTCTTTACACCACAACAGCCGAGGAGTAACGACGATACGCATCAAGACATTCCTCCACGATCAAACAAACCCGTGCCGACTGCTACAGTAATAACAGAAGCCTCGCACACCATCATCCTGACACCAGAGCTTACTGTTGAGCGTCCTTTGTCGGCCCCGGGTTTCATCCCAAGACTTGGAGCTACCAGAATCAACCCGTCAGCACACACCTCGGACATAAAGCGCGGCCGATCGAAAGAGAGACACCCCGGTCAAGCAAGACACCCCGGTCGTTGGTACTTTGGAGAATAATGTTACCGGGCCCAAGAGGAAGCTCCATCACATAATCGTTACGCCCGTTTTGAAGCTCGGCTCAGTCGATGCATTATTAATCCTCATTAATCCTCATTGTTGAGAGTCATACTGTATCTTACCTTACCATCCGGTCAATTTTTCTCTCACGCCTGTCTCCATTTCTCGGCTCTGACCCTGAACTGTTTGCTTTCGTGCTTCTCTCTTCAACGGCCCTTATTCCTATCACTCCTCCCCATCTCGAACTGGTCTCGCACCCCATCAGCCGGTGTAAGTGATCGCCCAAAATGGAAAGCGGCCTACCGACACCACCCATCGAAAAGAAAATGAAGATGTCAATATCAACCACGGCGCCGCGGAGGAATACATCATCTAGTACCAAGTCGGTCAAACCGATACATCGCGGGACGAAACGATCTGCTAGTCACCTCACTCATTCGCCTGTTCACGACCATGCGCCTCTTTCACCACTTGGCATGGACAGCAGGCATAAGCGGGTATGGAAGGCATGTGAAAGGTGTAGAATGAAGAAGACCAAGGTATATCCCGAATCCAACTCAGATATGATGTAGCGTTCATTGGCTGACCAGCACCACAGTGTGACGGAGAGTTCCCGTGTAAGAGGTGCAAGGACGACGGACTTGTATGCACTGCCGGCACGCGGAAGAAGACCGAGTACAAGCAATTGCCAAGAGGGTATAGCCACCCAATAAACCTTCATGTCATGACCGTAGCTGACCTCTAGCCAGTTACGCCGAGGTCCTCGAGAACACTCAATTCGCATTAATAGCCACCGTGCACAAGCTCTACTCGATGGTCCGGAGCGGGCAACAATGGGATCTCGGCGAGCCGGGGCTCAACGACAAAGGTCAACCGGTGATCCACGACATCGCGACGAAGCTCGGCTGCATGCGACCGAGCGCCGACGCCGACCTGCCACCGCACTCGGTGTTCCCCGAAGACGAAGCCGGGCTGGCCAAGCTCGCGGCCGAGCTGGAGGCGCAACAGAAGGAGAGAGATGCGCTCGCGCCCGAACACAAGTCCGAGACGGAATCAAGCTGCACGCGGACAGACCGCGCGAGCTCGTCGGAACTCGACCATTCGGACTTCGAGCAGGACTACCGCAAGGCGATGCTGAGCGACCGACATCAGAACCTGCAGACGCTGTCGCCGCAGAGCTTCACGTCGTCGTACCACGAGTTCGAGCCGAGCCCAACCATGCAGACCGACGTCGACCCCTCGAGAGGCCTGTTTGCCGTGCAGTCGCCCTCGGCGCCGACCGCCTTTCCGACGTGGAATATGAACAGGCCTGCCGCGATGGATAATCTGCCCGCGTCGTACATGTTGCAGATGGATATCAACATGGCCGAGATCATGCTCAGCCAGGGCCTGGTCGAGTCCGAGTTTGGCACCATCAAGCCGCACATGATCAACGTCCCGAATCCCGAGGTCATGCTCGGCGTCGGTGATCCGATGATCTATTCCGGCTACCCCAACATGGAATCATTACGGTCATAGGATTATGCTTGATGAATAGACACGGGTCACGATGCATGCATGTAATGCTCCGGCAGATGGTTTCGCTTCGCTCCGGGTGGCATTTCAAGATTTACTTTCATGGCAAGGCGTTTACAGGCGTGGATTGCGTGGGGGCATCATCACGTCCCGTCGAAGGAGCACAAGGGGCTTGGGGGAGTACCGGGCTGGAATTGCAATAGAAGGATGGGGCGTCCAGGTCTTCAATGACGAGAGGAGTCAGTATCACCAACGGCGATGTTGGCAACTGTTCCCAACACACTCATCCATACCTTACATAGCCCCATTGACCTCGCACAGCATAGCATGTAAGGGGCCAGCGGGCACTCTGTTTACAGCGCGGCCAATTGGGCCAGACAATTACAGTTTGCCGTCCAGGCCTTGGTAACAAGGGCGAGACCAACACACAACAATATAATCAATGCCAATACCTGAACGGTTTCACAAACAGCGCAAATTGAGCCCTATTTGGAATTCCCACTGGGCGGAGATCCTCCCTCGGGCTCCATCAGCCTCTGGAATTCCTAATACTGTCAGACTGTATCCATGTCTGTTCGTCACCCCTCGCTCGAGGGAATCCTTACAGGTAGGTCCATGCATCAATCCCGCAGCTCGTCGCTACGCTGAGATCCTTCCCACGGCGGGATTGGGCTGCAGTAAGGGCTCCGTGTCCCGCATGGCTTGGCCACCTACTACCTACGGTGTCATCGATCTGCATATGACCATCTCACATGCATATACAATACACATACAGCACAAGCACAATTGCCTCGCCGATTGAACTGGCCTCGGGGTTTGTGGGCTTCTAAGATTTGAAGCTGACAGCCAACAAACACCTCCTCGTTTTTCGTCTGCCAACCGAGAGCGAGGGAGCACGTGGTGTAACGGGCGCGCCCTGTCCAGCCTCACGCCACCGAGTCGTACTCGGACCGCGCTCGCATACCAAGCCAGGGGGACTCGAAGCCTACCTATGGCCTACATACAGCTCACCGTCCTCACTTTTTACTGCAGGTTTCGGTACCGTGATGGACTGGACTCAGGGTCCAGCAGTACATGCATGCGGCAGGGAGGCAGGCAGGTAAACAGGCAAGCAGGCAGACATGCAAAGCTCCCCAAGGACTCAGAGTCGACGGAGCCCTTTCCGTATAAGGCCGGGCACCTCAGCATGCATGCCCGCGCACAATGTGAATGCAGGCCCAGAGCAGCAATCCGCCAGCTCGTGAGCGTGAGCGTGAGCTTGCAGTCACAAGTGATGAGAGGTGATGACGAATCGCTTTGCGCTCCGCCACACACAGGCGCTGACTGAAACGCCCTGGGAATGAGATAACGTCTAACGAGCACAATTCGCTCTCGGGTGCCGAGATTAGACTGGTTTATCCCTGATTTATTCCAGGTTTATGCCTGTTTTATGCAGGTTGTGACCTCGAGAAGCCGATTTTACATACTGCTGTTATGCTATGCTATGCGACCCGTCCCGCAACTGGCAGGCAGATGAATTTCAATAAAAGCACATCGCTACCTTAGTCGGCGACCATGGACTGCCATATGTTGGTTGGACCACCAGAGCTATCTACCGGCCTTGCTTATGATTTGAATGCCAATGGACGCGTGACACAAATGTTTCTTGGTTTGCTCTGACTACTTACCTACAACCTATCAACCAACCTGCCAGGCACCCTTTGAAGACAGGGTCAAGGGAATGCTGTCCAAGGCCTCCAATGCAATCCATTTCATTGGCATCCGCATCGCATCGCATCGCATCGCACAGTAGGTAACAACAGCATTCGAGTTGACCCGTGTTACAACAGGAGGATTCCAGCTGACGACGATATCCAGTGTCACCTACCTTACCTTGCCTTACCTCAGCTACACAGCCCGGTGTGACGGTTCACAGAACTATTGTCCTTGGCTGCCATCTCCTATCTCCTCCTATGTGAGTAGATTCATAAGCAGGATGTCCTAAACGCCGACGGAGATGTGATAAGTCGACGGCAGAGCTACCTAGGCTTCTAATAAGGTTATGGTTGTTTGGAACTTGGAAGCCCGCCCGCAGCCCGCTCACCGACGGACCATGAGCGGACGGTGAGCGGAAGTTTGGTCTATCTCCGGCCCGTCCACCCGCAGTTCGCAATAGTACCGAAAACCGCACCTACGACGGGAAAGTACTTTGCCATGCTTCGACTCGTAATACTGAGCGTCTAGACGTCCAGGGGAAGGGGGTCAAGACCTTCTTGGGCCGCACTATTGGGGCGAAGTCCACGCGCGAGGGACTCGTCAGGATTCTGTCATTTCGGCATCACATCGCGTCTGTCTGTCTATCTATCTGTCGGTCTGTGATGAGAGCGGGTTGCTGAAGCCCCGATCGAAATCCTCTGCGTGCGAAGGATGGGAGGAACAGGGGTGAAGTTGGAACTTTTCGTACGAGATGAAAGGAAGAGGCGCACCGCGGTGATGAGGCGGTCAACCAACCCCCAATCTCGGGTTCCTGGACCCAGAGACTCGGATGGAGCAGATCTTGAACTTCCTTCTCGTCTATCTCTACCCAGTCTGGTACTACTTAGTGGTACCTACCTGACTTATCACAGCTCGGGAAGCCTTTTTGAGTTTCCAGCTGCAGGTATGGCTTGACAGAGATCGACCCGTCGGATCGTTGGCGTGGAGGTGAGTCTGGTCTCGACTCGACTGACGATGAATGGGTCGACCCCGGCTGTTTCGTATGGAGTCTCTCAATGAACGAGTTGACCTGCCTCGGTATCGCTTTACAAGATACGGACTTGCGGTGACTAGTGGTGCACTATGGAAACCTGCGAACCCTCATCATGAGGTAACTATTGGCGATATCTTGTTACGGCGACAAGCCGTACGAGACGGCCTATCGAAGGCCGTGGGGCCATGTCACCGGCGTCGAACAACTGCAAGATCGTTCAATTTTCTTCCATGGAGAAAAATCAATTTCGATACCTTCATGACCGACTTTTCGATGGTTCGATGACTTCATGACTCCGATCCACTGTGGATAGACGGCACAACGAGTGGGTAATCCCACTATCGAACTGACAGGCATACTCCGCTTGGATTTACCGAGGTTGTTTGATATCGGAGCGGGCTGCGGGACGAATCAGCGCAGCTTTTCAAGCCCAAGGATGGGTAAGGTGAATTGGATCGACGACCTGGATTTCTGCCACTGGAATTCTTGGCAGCAGAAGTTTTAGACGGGAGTCCCGAAACCCCGAGGTCCTCACGACTCATCATCGTCATCAATAGTAATCATCATCACGACCGACGCCGCCTCCAACGTCTTTCCATCCTGCTGCGACGTCCAACCGTTGCAATAAGACCACGTCAATCGTCGTCTTCGACTTTCAAACCCATCAATCACGACATATAGTACAGTCGTCATGACTTCCAGACCTACGACTCGGGATAACGTTGCTGAATCAACCCAGACCGGGTGAGGCCACAAAGTCTCCGTCCGGGGTCGGCACCGAGGCCGCGTAGCAGACGGACTGGATGCGCGGCATAGCATACCGAGTCTACGTGCCGAGTCTGCATGCCGCTCAGATCATGCGCTGGTAAATCCAATAGTTGCATCGCCCACCTATGTATTGCCTGCTGCTTTTGACGTCTCCTGCATACGGACCTAGGTAGGTATACAGAAACTCATCATGCCCTGACTGCCTCACCTGTGTACGGTGCTGTATCGGCAGATCTTGAATCAGAACCTGGGTCTTGCATCGCCCAGAACACCAAGCTATCTGAGCCTCAGAGCTCATACGTAAGCGTGTCGTCTCTTGACCTTATATTGCATTGCATTGCATTGCACTGCCATCAAGCTCAGCTCGATATGGAGAAGGGACCTCGCGACCCCCATGGGGCTCCGAGGGATAGGGGAGCTGGTGCCGAGCTCGATAGATGTTCGTCCTGTTAACAGCCATCGCTCAGGGTGACGTGGTTGCAGGCGGTACATTCGTGTCCCTTTTCATCTTATAGTCTTCGTTTTTGTTCGCTTCGGTCCAACTGCGCCCTCGATGCTCCTATCGGCCCAGTTGATTGCTACTTGCACTACTACCGTAATGCCATTCGGCGCTCTATTTAGACTAGTTTATCCGGCGCCTTCTCCATCAATCATTAGTAATTATAGGCGCTTTGGCGGAGTGGTTAACGCGATGCCCTGCTATTTCCTGAATAGCTGCCAGGCATTCTCCTTGGAGGCACAGGTTCGAATCCTGTAGGCGTCGTCAATCTTTTTGAATAGTGAAGATGTGGAATATTTCTTCTTTTTTGGCAGTGCCTGCATGTGTATCTACACCCACCAGGGACTTGCTAGGCGAACAATCACCACGCAAGCAACCAACCAAAGGCCTGCACCAAACAAGAAAAACTCCCAACGACAAAAAGATAAAAACGTACAACACCAAGGATTCGCTGGTCGTCACTGACCCAACTACTAATTCGGCGGTATCTGTGACGGCCTGCACAGACCTTCCCACATGACAAGCGGATACTTCCCAATAGGGGAAGGATCTGACCAGAGGATCCCCTTAAAGGGGCAACCTCCCACTGTACCTATCTCTCTCTCTCTCTTCCTTTCCTCGCTAGTCTTGATATTCTCGTCAATAGAGTAATAGCTGCTTGCTGCCGGCCATGTCCCAGCTTCTCAGTACGCTCGCCGTGACAGTATCTGGCTTATTTAAGGCAGAGCGGACGGGATGCCAACTTCTCCTGATCCTATGGGCGTACGTGAGATTCCCTGGTGTTTTCTGGAGTCATATATTACGTACTACCTCACCCCCGGGCCGTCCAGTGTCGAGCGGGAGCGAGCGAAGTAACCACCCACCACTGCCGTCTTTGCTGGTAAGAGAATGGACGGTCGTAGCGGAAAGGACTTCGAGACACTTGTGAGATACTGCATAGGTACCCAGGGTAGTTTGTTTAAAGAGTGAGGGATGGATGGCGCATTCCATGGTAACTAGTACCGAGCATTGATATCTGCGCGAACACGATGGACTTGGAACATTCTGCACTGCAGTCGAAGTCAGTCTGGTTCGGGAGTGTGCTTCGTAGGTGGTAAGTTGCGCGTATTGGTCAGAGTGCGAGGGGCATATATACGTTTTATTCGATCTGAGTGGCAATAGAACAAGCACCCAGACCCTTTGTATGATGTCGGGTCACGCCAGCGGTCCCTAGATGTTAGACCGGGCTTATAAATCGCATCCGATATCCCTGGATATCGACCCCTAGATTACCTAGTAGCAGCTAAAATGGGTAAGGCTAACTACCTGCTGGCTGGTTCGCTTTGCTTCTGGCTGCTTTTCTCGATTTGCGCGGACCATCCTATGTTGGATACTTTGAAGTTGGAAATAAGGGAAGAAACTCGCTCTAGTATATCAATAGGTAGAGCAACACGCACGATGGCTTGACAGTACGGCAGTTTGATCATATGAGGAGTGCGAGCGATCCGAAGGTATCTCCCAATCTATCAACATGTCTATGTATATATGCCAATCTACAATGGTATCATACACCACGACCCCCCTTCTCGACACATCAGCGCCAACAACTGCCATCAACCCAGCCAGCCCATAGTCCAAGAACCCTATCCAACATGCATCCCTTCAATCCCAAGGTCTGTCCGTCTACAACTTAGCCTTCTCGCCATCCTCCTGCTTCAGCCGTACGACTCCCTAGATCGACACCGAACCATTAGCCAACAAAATCACCATCACAACATAGGTACCAGCAGGCAGTACGAGCTTGATTGAGCACGTCTGCCTGCCCTCGTTCATTAACTAGGTAGGTTACTCACCTCCTGAAACGCCGTAGCCAGGAGCGTCCCGTCCTTGCTGAAGATCTTCTGCATGACAACGCCGCGGCCGTCGCCCGCCCACGGGCTCTCCATCTCGGTGAACATCCACTCGTCGGCGCGGACTTTTTTGGGGTTATGGAAGTAGATCGAGCTGCATAAGCCGTTAACATACACACACACACACAACCAACGCAGGCAACGCAAACCCGACGCAGAACCCTCGTGCACCTAGGATAGACTTACTGGTCCAAACTAACCATCATGCCCACCTCAGGCTGTCCCCGCATCTCCTCCAGCGTCCCAAACCCATCCCAGTCATTCAACCGATTCAGCCGGTCCCTCGCCTCAGCCGGCAAATTCTGCACGTCCTCGGGCCTCACAGGGAACCGCCACAGCCGATGAATGCGCGAGATCGTCCCGATAAAATACGAATCGCTGATATACGCCAGCGCGCTCAGATGCGCCTGATGCCCCCCCTCCTCGCTAATCCTTCCGCGCGCCCGCACCCACTGCCAGACCTTGCGCCGCTCGAGCGGCGTCGCGTCCTCGGCCTGCCGGGTTATTTCCTTGCCGTCCTCGTCGCGCGGCCGGCACCGGAAGCTCTCGAAGGGCGAGTTGTCGCCCTCGATGACCTCTTCCTTCCCGGGCTCCTCCTCGTCGGGAACCGTCACACCCGGGGGGAGGGGTGCGGCGTGCGAGACCGTCTTGGCGCCGCCGCTGGCCTCGCGCGTGAACGAGCACGTCACGGTGAAGATGGCGTGGCCGCGCTGCCGCGCCTGTACTGTGCGCGTGCAGAAGGAGCGGCCCTCGCGCACGCGCTCGACGTGGTACAGGATCGGCACGCTCCCGTCGCCGGCCAGCACGAAGAAGCAGTGGTACGAGTGCACGACGAAGTTGGACGGGACGGTGCGCTGGGCGGCCTGCGAATTACGTCAGTCAGTCAGTCAGTCAGCACTGGATTATACATCAAGACTTTCTTTCGTGCCCGGCACGTTGATCGTATGAAGACGGCTTGTAATGAGATGGAATGGGTAGGTCTTGATGAGAGAGCCCTTATCACTCCATATCCAAAAACATGCGATGAGACCGAGTCGGCGGTATGTTGACAGCAAATCAAGATGAATAGGAAACAACAAAATGAAGAAACTTACGGCAAGCGTCTGCGCAATAACCGCGCCTCCGTAGATACCCCTAGCACCAGGCGGATGCCACAGCTCCCGCGTATTCGTAAAGAGGTCCTATACATTCACGTCACTCGTTAGCCTCTTTTCCTCTTCATCTCATGCCATCCCGAACCACACATCCCGCCCTTCCCATCCCATTCCATCCCACACATCCCACAAATCCCACAAACCCACAGCCGCAGAATAAGCCGATACAACAAACAGCACCCGTCCAGTCCGCATTATAAGGCACACAGCATAAGGCGTAAGGTGTAGATAGGCAGGAGACTTAGGGTCAGGGTTAACTCACCGGCCCAATACTACCCAGCTCCGTCAGCTCGAGCGCGTTCTCGATGGGCGCCTTGCTCTCGTTGACGGGCGGGGCCTTGACGAGTGTCGGGCGGCGGTCCGCCATCGTGCGTAATAGCAAGCACACAGGTTATACCAAACGACCGTGCCTCCTCAGCCTGGGCAATGAGCTGGTTGACTTGCTAGTTGGTGAATAAATTGCTGTTGGGGTGCAAGAAAAGGGCTTTGAGGACGTGTGTGTGACGTGACATAAGATAAGAGCACCAGCACCTGGCAGGGCCAGAGCAAAGGGCTTCTGAAAGGTCAAGAAGACAACGAAGACCCTAACAAAATCTGACAAGAGGCAAGACGTAAGTAAGGTCGATCCTTTTCCACAAGCACCGTCCTTGTTCTCGATATCGTATCGTATCGTATCGTCTCGTCTCGTTTCCGTCGTTGAACAAATTCGTAAATGAAACGACCTCAATGACCGAAGTTCGCGATACGTGCCGTCACTTAGCGTTGTCGCAGGGGCTTTTGGGGTTTTTGCCGAGGCTCGGTCGGTCGTTGACAACTTGAGACCCGTGGACGTGTGGGGCGGGCTCGGCATGTCTACTGGGGTTTCGCCAAGAATCCTCGTAGTCTCATCCATTGATAGGAAATAGCAGGACAGGCCTTCTACGGTTCGCATAGTTGCACTCGCTTGTACACTGAGATACGTATGTCGGGCTCTTTTATCCTGGTAGGGTTATCAGATCAAGTATGCCAGCTCAGCTACGTCGTATGTCGGCAGCCTGACAACCTCGGCTTGCACAGCATATGCCAAGGTCATATGTCTTCTTATCAAGTATATTCCTTCCAAATATTGGATATAATCAGTACTCGTCACACAGGTTGCTTGTTCTGTTCTGTATCGTATACAATTCGGGACTAGTCAGCCCACCAGGCTCTACCGTATCTCACTCTGCGGTCTTACTCTTCAGACGTGTATATGGGTTCCAAGCCGTCCCACGCGTGAGCATCGCCACTGCCAAACTTCTCCCGCTGCTCCCAGTACTTCCCCGTGAACTTCCAATGCTCCACACCCGTCACTTCGTCTGTGGTCTTTTCGAACCACGCAGGGACGAAAGACTCGCCATTCCGCTGCCGAGCGTTTCTCCTCGCCCGCTGCCCTTCTTCGAGCCTATTCTTCTCCGTTGCGGCCAGATCGTACTCGCCGTCCTCCATGGCCCTCTGGTCGGGACGGAAGCGGGAGTCGGTCGGCGCAATCCACTTCTTGAGATTGTCATCAAGGTGGTTGAAGGTCAGGACGAACGGTGTCAGGTTGAACGGGATACCCTGCGGTCGCTCATGGGCCTCCCAGACCACGAACGCTCGGCTAGGATCACTGATGCTTCCTCTCGTGTCCTTTGGCTCCTCGACAGTCGCCTCGTACCCTGGTGTGAGCCGGGCATAGAGCTTCGAGTTCCATCGACCGCCCAAGCTCATGCGTGGTCGACCGTCCGCATCGAGAATCTTACCAGAAAGCTGGTAGGCACTGGAAGCCTTCCAACCACGCTGCTTGAAGTCGAGCATGCAAACTTCGCCCGTCGTGTGGTTCTTTATCTCCACCAGCCCATAGTTATCCACCACAGGGTTGCCGGTGATGATACCAACAACCTGGGACTTGGGCTTCTTCCACGTATAGAAGTCTTCTTTGCCTCCAGCGGTTGGCCGCAGCTTCAGGAACCAGGTTCCCAGATGGTAAATATCGAACGACTTGCCCATAAACCTCGAGTCGACCTTGGCCTCACCCCAGTAGCTCCACTTGGGTGCTTCGGCATAGCAAGCTCCAATCGGCGGGTGATGGCTGACTTGCTCTATGAAGAACCGATAACCTTTGTCCGGTCTGGCATACTCAAAGGTCTCACCCAGAAGCGGGTTGAAGGGCTTCGCAACGCGGCCGATAGTCGAGGCAAACTCGCTTGCCGCAAATGCCGCCACGTGCAACATGCGCTCGGTGGAATCTGAACGATCGGCTGCCAAGTCCAACAGATCCGCATACTCCATGTCTTCGCCTGTTCGGTACAGCAAAGAAGTTGGCTCATTGAAGGAGACTGGAAGGGTCATCTTTGTCATGTCCTTTCCGATCATGGACTTAAGAATGCCCTATGGCAATGGATTAGTATGTGTCAAAAGCAAGACACCCCTCTGCGACTTACCCAAAGACCAATCTTAGGTCTGTTATCGTTGTCCAGCTTGAGTTTGGTTCTCACCCCGTTCTCGTAGCCCTTGAAGGCACTGCTGACATCCAACCCCGAGACAACTATATCTTGCTTCGATTCGCCGGTGGGAACCACGTCCGAGGGCGGCATCGGCTCGACATCAACCTCGCCGGCGTCTACGGCATCGAAAAACTCTTCTTGTTCTGACTCTGAATCATCCGAGAAGGCATCGACAACGTGGGATAGGTTAGTTGATTTGCGAGGCAAGCTCTTCGCCGATGGAGACTTCGGGTCATCAGCAACAGCCTCGTCCAGTGCAGTTGTGCTCTCGACTGGCGGGATCTGACTGCTGCCGCGACTCAACGGACGGTTCTCTGACCCGCCTTCCATCATCTCTCGAAGGGCACGTTTGGTGATCTTGCGCTTCATCTCGGCCTCTCCGACCCTCGCCTCGAGGACTTCCTGTTCCGCTGCCACCTTGGCCATGCTTTCCTCCCACATTTGTCGCATCTCAACTTCCTGGTCGAGACGGTACTGCCAATGTGCGTCACGGTCCTTGGCTATTCGGAGAAGATCTCCCATCAGGCCCTTCAGACTTCTAATTGCCGCATCGTATGTTGCAAGCGCTTGAGCCGCTTTCGGGTCCACAAGAGACATTGTCGGATTGCGATGGGCTTCAGATTGCAAAGCAGCGCTCACTTGTGCTAGGGTATCCAGTTGAAGTCTTGCGGACTGCGCTGTAATGTTGAAGGCGTCCTTAGTAGCAGACGGCGCTTCAGCCTTACTTACTTGGGTGCCATACTCATCGTGGTCGTAATCCTCGTCGTCGTCGTCGTCGTCGTCATCATCCAGGTCAGCTGGAATCGTAGGCGCCCCATTACTTCGTGCCTTCGAGTCAGCATCAGCAAAGTCGTCATCCACGCTGCCGCTCGTGCTGGCACGAGAGAGGCCTTGTGAAGCGGCCACCTTGCCGGAAGGGTAACGCGACAGGTTCATACTGCCCCTCCGTTCGCCGACGCTCGCAGCGTCACTGTGTGAGTCTGTGACGGCTAGATCTGTTGGCTTTCCAAGATTGTCCCGCGCCTGTCGTAAGACCTGGGCACTTTGAGCCTTTTGTTGCTGGTCTTGCTTTGCTTGGTCCTTCGTCCACTGTATTGCATTATTCAATGCCCAGAACCACCGCTTTGCCTCGACTTCGTGATTGGCCTTCAAAGTGTACTTGACTGAGGATTTGCCGATGATCTCGAACTTGGTCTTCTCTTCCGGGCTCATGTATAATCTGGCAATGCGCATGTTGATGGCACCTCGACAAGCATTATCTGCGTCATCCTGGTGCTTGTAGTAACTCAGAACACCGTTCTCGAGCACAAACCATCGTAGTTGGTAGCCTTTGCGGTAGTTGGTCCACTTCTTCAGGTACCCTTTCATCTGGGGCTCTCGACCAGCCAGCGGGTCTCCTGTTGAAGCCGCTGCAGGACCACCCTGCGATGTTGCATGTCCTAGCACAGCTTTCTCTTGGATTCCACGCTGAGCTGCCACAGCAGCAGGAGATCTCTTGAGCATGGCTCGAGTGACATCGTCGTGGGTGACGTGTTGAGGAAGCTTGCCTTTGCGGTCTCGCTGGAAAGGATCAGCACCGTGGAGCAGAAGGGCCTGGATCAGTTTCGTGTCCCTCTTTCGAGCTGCCTCGTGCAACAGGGTTCCTCCATTCTCAACAGTTATAGGGTCACAAGGTAACTCGATGCTGTTGACGTCCAGTATTGTCTTCACCCGAGGCTCCTCGAGAATTTGCCCGAGCGTGTCATAGGCGCCTTCGCGCACGAGGTCCTGCACCTCTTTGACCTTGTCCTGGACGAACAGCGTTCTGGCTAGTTGAAGTTGTTGAAATATCTCGGGACTTCTCGCTACGTCTAGGGGAAGCTTTCCCTGGTTATTCGCAATAGCATCATTGATATCCTTCTGATTCAGCAAGAGGCGAACGAGCGGGCCACGACCTTGCGATGCGGCCAGGTGCAAAGCCACGTTTCCATCCTTGTCCCGCGCATTGACGTCGATATACCCAGCGCCATTAGACAAGACGTACTCTACAACGTCGAATTCAGCGCATTGAACGGCGAGATGAAGGACAGTCGTATCGTCCAAAGGAGCGGCACTCGAGCCACTGAAGGAAGACGTGCTCGCTCGCGGTCCGCTTTCCGACGTGTCGCGGATTGCTTTCGAGATGGCGGCGGTGTTGCCACTTCGTAGAGCCTCGACGATGCGAAACTTGCGAACGGATTGCTCGAGCGACCCGCCCTTCTCGGCTGATACTGTATTGGATCGCGAAGGGGTCAAGGCTAGGTTCGAAGGGTTCGAAGGGCTCGAGGAGCTGGGGTCGCGCGAGGGTATTCGACCGATGGACATCCTCGAGCTGTGGCCCTTGACGGACTGTTGATAAGAAACAGGCGGGTTGGTGGGAGGTGATGCAGCTGTGCTGGGATGTAGACCTGGGCCGGAGGTAGGCGAACCGTCATCGGAGGGGTTGTCGTCGTCGTTGCGCTTATCCTTGTCCTTCCGTCGAAGCATCGAAAGAGCGGAGGACTTTGATCTCTTGTGTTGACTGCGGACCGGGTTAGTGACTTATCGCAGGCGCATGGACACATTACCGGCGCCATCAAGCAACTCGAATTCTCACATTCCGAGACATGCAGAATAGCGCAACGACTAGTAAGGATATCCAGATGAGCTTACCTATCCCCAGCCTCCGACATGTTGCCTCAATGAACGTATAGGCGACACCGACGGACAGGCGGAAGAAAGGGTGTTTTGGGGGAGTCGGAGTCGGAGCGGTGATCGAGAGGCAAGGTAGGTAGGTATCAAGACGCTTGGCGCAGCATCGTTGTCATCGTCAAAGAGTCCAGTAAGTAAGGCACAGAAAGTGGGATGAACATTAAGGGTTGGTCGAGTCGTGGTCTTTGGAACAAAGGGCCAGATTCGGTGTCGGGTCGGGTTGGAAAGCACTCGGTCAGTCGCTGGTCGCTGGTCGCTGGTCGCTGGTCGCTTTCCCCTCTGCAGCCGAATGACGTTTCTCTTGTGGCCCATCCTCGGAAAAGGCCACCCCCAGCAAGATTGATCCAATCGTCCCATCTTAGCCCGCCTGATCCCCACCATCGCGCTATTCCCCTTTTATCGGGTAGCGCATCCTTCACAAGCCGTGGACTTCATTGGCGATATTCTACCTAGGTACATAAGTGACATACCTACATGTAGCAGGTAATTCACGTGTTTATCTATCACTTTCTGCATCTGAATGATTTGTAGTTGGGTTCATGAGACAATCAGCGGCAAGATCATTGGGTATCGTACTACCATATGACCATTGTCAGATGACTCAGGTAGGAGGTGGTAAATGCTTGAGTCGGCCATGATGCTTATTTCGTGTACGACTTTATATCCGTTCCATCAAGACGGCACGGTATTCGAACCACACAAGTCGAACTTCTCCGCCGTGGGGAATGGGAGGTCGGTAGACTGATCAAAGAAAAGGCACGAGGTGAGAAGAGAGCATAGTCGGCACTTCAGTAATCTTATTCGTGATCATTCATATCGTGATATCCATACTCTAGTCGTCCCAACACCAGTCTCTTAAGTACCTAAGATCAAAGAAGCATCTCCATCTCTCCAGTACCATCTCCAGTACCATCTCCAGTACCATCTCCAGTACCCTCACCCCGACGCACCCTCAGCATCATCCAAGATCCTCTCCAGCGCCAAAAACGCAAACGGCCCCAGCTCCCAGCCCAGCCCGTCCTCCTTCCGCCCCGGCGTGCGCACCGCCGTGCAAGTCATGTAATCCGGGCCGAGGGCCCTAAGACAGATATTCGCATCGTCGACCTTGCGGCCCTTGAACAGCACATCGTGCACCCGAATAACCTGCGCCGGCTCCTCCTCATCCGAGGCCTGCACAAACGAGTCCGCGTCTCCCGGCTCCGGCGCCCGGAACCCCCTGAAATTAAGATCGCGCAACCACTCGGCCAGCAGCGCCTCGCCCGTCATCTTGACGTAGGCCTCGCGCAGGCACCACAGCGTGTAGAAGCCGCGCAGCTTGAAGTCGACCATGTCCTCTTCGCGCGCGAGGGGCGGCAGGTCGGGACCCGGCTGCGACGCCGACGCCGACGACGCCAGCAGGTCCTTCTTGAGGTAGGCGGCCTCGGACGCGCCGAACACCTCGGCGTGCATGTCGACGAACTTGGCCCAGCCCTCGACGCGCACCATGCGGCGGTCGCGGTCCTGGCGCTCGCTCGTGCACACGATATCAACACCCGCGTCGACCTTTCCTGCCTCATAACCGTGCACCGCGACCAGCGCCACGAGCCCGGCCTGATGGCTGACGTTGAACGCGACGGGCTGTTGGCCGGTGGCCGCGTCGACGAAGATGGGCTTGCCGTGCGCGTCGCGCGTCAGCTTGGTGTCTCGCCATGGGATGCCGCAGTACCGGCTCACGACCCAATGCTTCAGCAGGTGCGACGCCAGCGACATCTTTGCGTCGGCCACGAAGTAAAATCTGAGTACGCCGGCCCGCTCTTCCTCGGTGAGGAGCGCGAGCGCGCGGGATGCCTGGGTTGCTGTCAGTTTCCCCCAGTCTTCATATACGTGCTGCGTAAAATTCGCAGAAGTGAGAGGTGAGTGAGACAGGAAAGAAGCAGAGGGAGATGTCGACAGGCCCGGCTCGTGCGGCTCATACGGCTTAGTACTCACCTCATGCTCGAGCTGGTTCGTCTTGGTAGCCTGCGGCCATAGCTTCCGCGTGTCGACGAGGTACTGTATGACCTCCACTTTGTCGGACCCCATTTGGCAGACAGAAAGGTGTGAAAAAAGCTGCTGTATCTCTCGTCCGATCTACGAGTTGCCGGCAAGAGTTGATAATGTGAGAGAGGAAGGAGAGCATCCCGCATGCATGTCAGCAGGGTGACGGTCCGGCGCAACCGATGAAGGATGACAGCCGACAGACCTGTAGGGCGCTTACTACAGGGCTCTTTAGTGTCTGAGACCACTAAGCGCGCAGCGCTAAATGTGGGTACTGACCTACCTAATCCTCAACACCAAGCTCAAATCTCACGATACTTGACAGCGATAGTAGATAACCTCACTTGAGGGCATCCAGCGACAGCGAAACCCTCCAATAGTAATCCATTACTTATTGAATCATTTACACATTCACACGATCATACATTCACATTGAGACAATGCAAGGCAACAAAGTTGTTGAAGCCAGGGTAGTATTATTGCTGAGTACCTTGCCGGCGGGATCCTCCACTCCTCAGCAGCGAGTACAAGCCGGTGGTTCTCCATCACGCTTCGAGTGTCTCACTGATAAGACCAAATTCTAAACCACAAACCCCATCAAATCCTACATCCAGAAGCAGCAGCGAGCCATGAAGAAAAAACCATTCGAACGAGCTTGCCTCAAGGGTGGCGGGCGGCGCAGAACGAATGATGAAAAAACTTCAAGGGGAATTGGGGATGCCTAGCCTCGCGCAAACCTCGGATGCCTCACTCAAGGTCGTACCTCCCGCGGAGGTGCGGTACCTAATACCTATTCCTCGATCCGATTCCACATCCGGTATCCGATATCCGTACCTTAGTCCTCGCAAGCAAGCACGCTGCTGAATTCTGGGTGGGCGAAAGCGAATTGTTTCTTCGGCAAGTAGAGAAGATGAGGAAGGATGACAGGCTTCCTCAATAGGGGTGGTGTTGGGGGAATGGGTACATGCTTGCTTGCTCACTCGATAATATTCCTTACTCCTTGTTAGTGACGACGACGACGACGATGATGATGCTGATGATGATGGGGGTATGGTGATGAGGAACTCCGAACTCCGAACTCCGACGATGATGATGGTGAATGATGATGAACTCTGAATTCCAACGCTGAACCCTTAGTGGGTATATGTCGTGAAAGCAATCCGGTAAAGCGACGATGACGGTGATGATGATGATAGAGGGTGAAGAAGCCATTTTTGGGGGGTTTGTCGTTGATGTTGCTGTTGTTGATGCGGTTGTCGTACAAGTGAAACACATGAGTTCGATGAAAAGGGAGGAGGATCTCTACGAAGAAGAGGGAACCATGGCATCCTCCAATATCTCGGCGTCCGCAGTGTCGTCGCCGAGACCCACGAGCTCGTCCGGGGAGAGAACACCTATGGCGACGAGCCTATGGATGTCTGCAGCGTTGTCTTCTGCATCTGGTGACGACTCGAGGTCCGCGAGGCTGGCCTCGACGTCATCGTCGTCGTCGTCGTTATCGGGATGGGGACGGTGATGGCGGCGGAGCCCAGGTCGTGGTTGTGCTTGTCGCTGTCGTTGTCGCTATCGCTGTCATGGCCGTCAGCGAGAATGGGCGCGCTGTCGCCGTTGCTGGAGTCGGTGGTGAGGTCTCCGGTCCAGTTTGCCGAAGTGGGGACAGAGTCGACATCGCTGTCGAGGTCCAAGAAGTCGACGTCCTTGTCTCCGAGGTCCTGTGCTCTGATGATGGGTGTCGCGGCGGTGAGATGGGTACTTGGGCAACCCATTTTGCGGTCCGTTGCCGCCGGTACGCCTCGTCCATGAGCTGCTGCTGCTGCGGTTGGAGGGCCCCCTCATGGGCTTGGAGGAGCTCCTTGTGGGTAAACGTAGCACCACGGTTGTGGATGTTGATGAGTTGGTTGATGTCGAATCGTCTAAAACCTGGCTCCAGGGCGTCGATATGGATCATCCGTAAGGTGCCGAAGCGGACTAACTGTTCAAGCACGTCGACCTTGACTCGCTGAGATGGTCTCTCTTGCTCGTCTTCGTCATCGTCGTGCTTACGCTTGCGGCTTGGGACAGGAGAGATGGTGGTGGGTGGCGAGCGGCGGATGCTGCTCTTGTCCTTGGTGATGGTTAGGGCAGTGGTAGAAGCCATCGTGAATGTCACAGCTTAGTGCTGATTGAACGACGGATGGATGTGTTTTGTGGGGTGACTTTGAGGATCGTCAGTACAGAAAGATTGACTATGACTTCAGTTGCTCGAGCCACAGCAGACTTCTCTGTGCTGGAGAGCCATATTGGCCCGTTGAGGTTGAACGCAGTGGAGAAGACGAGTTCAGCCATGGGCCACCAGGGCAAAAAAAAAAAAAAAACAAGGAAAAAAACTTTAAATTGCTCAAGGTTATGGCAGAGTCTGGATTGATTCCACAACATCGAGACCATCTCTCAATCTGCTGTGTTGGGAGCACGAAGTCTGTGCTGGAGTGGCGGGGTCCGATGATGGATAGATAGGGGGAATAGGCGTAAGGCCTGGTAGACTACTTACCGTATGGACGAATGAGTCGGCTGAGTAACTGGTGAAGAACTCGACCGTGACGACGATGATGACGGTGAAAATACCGGTGTAGTGCTTGTCTGTTGGACCCGATAGAGGAGTTGTAGTAGAGGAGTTGTCGTAAGTGCTTGGGTAGAATGATGATGATGGTGAAGATACGGATGAAGTGCTTGTCGATGGGACCCGATAGAGTTGTCGCAGAGTAGTTGTCGTAAGTGCTTGGGCAGAAGACAGATACTCAGAAACGGGGGATTTTGGTATGTGAAGGAGGGATGGAGGAGAGAGAGGAAATTAGCAGGAGGAGACCCACTGTGCAGATTTAAATAGGGCAAAAGGACAGAAGAATCAGCAGGCACCTTGCGGGCTTGCAAAGATAGCTCAAACTCAAACCGAGTCTTGAACAAGTATACCAACCTTGGAAGGTTAAGTGGCTGAACACACAGTGACCTTGGGAAGGAAGGTCGAGTACGGCGTGAGAGAGCGGGAACACCTTCAAGGTCAGACGCAATTCCTCGAAATACTTGGTTGATAGAATGTACTCGTTCACTTCGTCATGATAATACGCTCAACATCCTACTCTATCGACACCATCGTGAGAAAGTACAGGGAACGATGTACATACGACGAATGTGTTGGTACCAATACTGTCCCCTTATGCCACGCACGCTAAACAAGCCGGTCATGCGAAGAATAGACTCAAGCATGGCAGAGATAGCTTTGAATTTTAGCAGAAATGTTGAGTCACATAGCAATAAGCCTTGAAGGCGTTCTGAAAAGGAGAGAGTAAATATTTAGCCTCTGACCCGACACTAGCCGGGTTTGTGGCCGGCAGAGGGAGAGCGAAGAAACTCGAGGTCCCAATCCAGGTCTCAAGGACCATCAGGGCCAAGGGACGAACATGACGCTTCGTAGAAGCCAGTTCTGCACCTATCATCGAACGCCTAGACGGTGGCTGAGTTGTGGGGGACGGAGCGTCGACAACTCCTCGCCTGTAGATGGCGATAGACCCATTAGGCGCACTCGTATGTTCCCATGTGCTGGGGAGACTGCCCGCAGCGAGAGCACATTCGCCTCTCTCACCTCTCTGGTGACCCGGTGAGCACAATCCGTGAACCTTCCCACCGGTGGCTGATTGCAGAATCGCCCTCAATGTGGCCCATGCATGAAGACTCTACGTGAGAGTTGCAGGAGCCGTCAAATAGGAGGCGAGTCGTGGCGATAGAGTTTCAGGGAGTGGGTCGATGAGGTTGTGTCCAGTGAGGTAACAACTATACATCGACAACTCTTCACGGGTCAGGGCGATCATTGATATCCTGGTAAAGGTATCTTGAACTATTTAGATTCATCAGAGCGAGGTCATTGATACTGCGGGCTCACGAAAAGACTCAGAAGCAAGGGAAAAAGGAAGGAGAATAGGTGAGATGCGATATCACGACGTACCTGTCGAGCCCGTGTGTCCATCTCATCGGGGTTACGCGGCACGGTACGGCGATAAGCATTGACCACAGCGACCAAGAAGAGAAGTTTCTGCATATCTGAGTTTGACTTGAGGTGGTTTAAGCACATCGAGGCTGACATCGGAAGGTCATAGAGGCGCGAGAGGCAATTTTATGTATTGGTGCAGACATCAGCCGGTGTCGTTCTTTGTCTTCGTCTGCTAGAGTGCCCCTGGTGCTGTATCTACCGGCCGGGGGCAGGTGCTTCGACTCGGAGGACGAAAACCGAGTAGTTCCCAGAGCGGGGCCGCTTGGCTTCCTTCCTGTCATCTATCTCCTGTTCCCCCTGCTTCGTTATCTTCTTCGATGACGGGTCAGCCTCAGCTGCATCGCTCGGTGAAGGTGCATCCTTCTTCGCGGCTGAACCTTGGTCCTTCTTTGCAGCTGAATCTTGTTCCTTCTTCTCGTCATCTTGGACTTCCTTGAGGATGTCTCCATTTCCATCGACCTCCACAATTACGTCCGTCTTGTCCAGGCTTCCGTCTTCAGTGTAGGCCCACATCTCGCGAAGCTCGCCTCTCGCTGCACCAGTCAACCAGACGGCGAAAACAACGCCAGGAACCAAGTAAAGCAAGGCGGGTTGGGCATGCTTAAAAGTTAGCAGCATGACCAACGTCGTCATCATCGAAAGTAGATATCCGATCATGGCTGCATGGAAGTATGTCTTAGGGAATGCTGAAGCCTTCAAAGCTGGCGTCGCGTCCGGTGAGAGTATATTGCTAAACTTTGTACCCCAGAAGCGATCTCCCCATTGTCCTTGTGGGTTGAAATATTCTGGCTTGACCACCATTCGCTGCGTCTCCTGATTTGTGACCAAGTGACCTGCCGACTCGACCTCTGTTATCAACTCAACAGGAACGAGTTTGCGTTGTCGGTAGTAATGCATGTAGTTGTCGAAACGGAGACACAGTCCGATAAACATGCCAGGAATGACTATGTCACCAAGTCCAAGCATACTGGCCTTGGTGGGCCCCTCGAATACAAGCTTGATAGGTACGTCAAGTTTAGTGGCGACCGTTACCATGTACGGACTGCAAAATGAAAAACATTAGTACACGTATGGGGAGACATGCAAGCCCAGACTCACGTGTAGAAGACCATAACGATGTCGTAGAAGAAGAGCCCGAAAAGCACACCACTTCCGGTAGCGAAGGTGGTGGGTGACATCAGGATTATGCCCGCATACGAAAAGGCATAACCCATGATATTGGACAAGAAGGTGGACTTGGTCGTGTAGTATATCAAGTTTGCGCCGACAGCAAGGACAAACCCCACTATGTCGTTGAACTTGACCTTGATATTCTCATTCACGATCCCATGAATGAAGAGGCGCACGGTCCACTGCTCCAATAGGAGGTGGCGGACTCCCCAAAGCATCGAGTTTGCTGCTCCGGAAAGACGCATCGCAGACCATCGACCGGGAAGAGGCGATTTCTTCTTCTCGTCCCATTCTCGGTCTGGGGAGCCATTAACTGCGTACCAATGTCCCCTCTTCTCGGAATCGACGTGGTACAGATTCCCATCCGTACCAGTCCAAACAGTGGGGAAGACGAAGCCAGTCAAGAGCTGAAGTCCGTCCGCAAACAATTTCCCCATGCTTGCAAAGGACATGAATGAAAAGTAGACTCGTAGGATCGTGTTGAGGATATCTGGGTCCTCAAGCCACTTGATCAGGTAGTAGAGTCCGATGAGGACAGTGCCAGCCAGGATGGGAAACATAATCGCATCGGAGGGCAGCAACCCTTGGACGAACTGACCTTCAGCATCCTCCGGCTTCTGCTTGTCACCTTTTTTGCTTTTCTTGGGCAAGCTTGCCGAGGGAGGCCGGCGGAGCGCGCCATGTGCTCCGATGTAGATACAAGCCAGCGCCGTGAAGACAATGCGAGTCTCGAGTACGAGTAGGTCGCTATGCTCGACTAATGTAGACGGCACACTGGCTAGCTTCTCGAAGAAGGTCTGATTGGCCGCCATGGCATTGGTAAGATTCGTGGCTGACAGCTCACTTGGGCCGGGAAAGGTTGTATTATTGGACGCCATGTTGCTCCGGAATTCTAGAGTCATGGAAGGGCCAACAGTACGTTGTCCTGCTAGGCGGTTTTCCCGGTGAAGGGGGAATGGAAGGCGGGGGGCCGCGTGTGTTTATATATCCAGTGGATTCCTCGACTGGCGATGAGTCAATGTGAATAGGGTTCTAGCTGCTGTCTCTCCTATAATTAGGTAATTCGGTGGATTCGTGGCGGCATCGAATGGTTCGCATTCGAAACTCAAGAAAACCGTAGAAAACCCAACAGACGCTAGGTAGGGTTGCGTATGACAGATTCGACGATTGATGCAGTTTGTTATGCTGCTGATAGAAGGCAAGCGTTTGTGGTGGCGGTATCGAGTTTTCCAGTGTTCAGTAGCGAGATGGTGGCAGTGAGGTTGCTCTCGAGTGTGGTCGACAAGGGAGGATGAGTAGATGGGCTGAAGCCCGAGAAAGACGCGAGCGAAATAGCACCTCAGATTTGAGGTACGAAAGAATGCAACGGAGAATAACTAGGTATATAGCTCTTCAATCTGGGCAGAAAAGTATAATGAACCTTAGGGACGTTGCCTCATAAAGGCATTGGTGAGGGAAGAGATCAGGTTGATTTGACATCTGGACAACATTGAAGACACCTTGATGAGATATGTGGCTTCTACCTGTGGCGGTGCAAGTGTCGTGTATGAACGAAATGCGATGCCGCTTTGGCGCAAGCACCACACCTCATTCATCGACTGGCAGTCCCCCAAAGGAATGAAATATTTGAACTCAAGCTAGCTTCACATATGATATGATCAATTCTCAGCAATAGAGGACTATGAACAACCTTTATGGAAGATACACCACAGGGGCAGCACACGCTCTATGAAATCCATATCTACAAGCCACACCAGCCCTCGCATAAGCGCATTGCCCCTCCAACCCTCCAGAGCTTGCATGTGGTATTTTCTTTGCGCCCTAGAAGCTCAAGCTCCAAGCATCAACACCAGATAAACACCTCGAAGGACAAACAGCTACCTAAGCTACCCACTCACATATGCACGCACTTGGCCTCGCGACAGCTCCATAACCAACACCAGATCAAGCTCCCCAACCTAAGACTCCAAAATGGCGACCAACGTCGCCCTCGAAACCACAATGGTACGCGCCTTCCCCTCCACCACTCCCTCCCTCAACCCGCAAACCGGCCGACTAACACCCCCTTCCAGGGCACCATAACCTTAGAACTCTACACCAACCACGCCCCACTGTACGTATAGAAACATCCCATCCCAAGACCCTGGGCCTTGTATTCGGGAACAAGCTTTGTTGTTCCCTTTTCTTCTTCATCTAGAAAATGGCCGTACGGGTTTGAAGATAGGATGTTAACGTATATGTAGTACCTGCAAAAACTTCCTCACCCTCTCCGCTCGGGGGTACTACAACCACAACCCAATCCACCGAATAATCCCGAACTTCATGATCCAAACGGGTGACCCGACCGGGACCGGTCGCGGCGGCACCTCCATCTACAACACCTCCACGACGGGGCACTTCGCCGACGAGATCTCCCCCGAACTCCGACATACCGGCGCGGGGGTGCTGAGCATGGCCAATGCCGGGCCTAACACCAACGGGTCGCAGTTCTTCATCACGCTCGCTCCTACCCCGTGGTTGGATGGGAAGCATACGATCTTTGGACGGGTCCGGAGCGGTATGGGTGTTGTGAGACGGATGGGGCTGGTGAGGACGGGCGCGGAGGATAGGCCTGTGGAGAAGGTCGAGATTATCCGGGCGCGGGTGCTGGAGGAGGGGGAGGGGGAGGGTGGCGGCGGGGAGGCTTGAGGGATGGAGACATGAGCAAGTAGGGCACATGTGTGCTGCGTTTGTTTCTTTGGCGAGACAAACGTCGAGTGGGAGAACCGGCCGTTATGGTATGGGCGGCATATCTGCATTGCATAAGCTGGCGTTATGGCGTTTTGGAAAGAGGCTTGATCGAGAGTCAAGAACCTGCCGCTAGAGATACCACAGTAGAGACGATACATGTCACGTCGCGAGTGCTACATGTAAGATTTGGGTTTCACGAAAAGAACGGCCTTGGAAGGCGTTTGCTACCTATGTGCATGAGTTGTCCCTTAAAGATACAAGTACCCCTTTTGCCACGAACGCCGCTTTTCCCTGTGATGCAGAAGTGATGCCCAACCCTGTATTTGGCATGAAGCCCCGGAACCCCAGTCAATGCAAAGTCGTTGACATTATACAGATGGTGGAAAGATAGATGGGCAGTGGTAAAGTATGATGAGGCATGTGACGTAGATGGACGAACGCGCATCCAAAGCTCAGCTAACCGAGCCGTGGTGCCCGGACCATGGGCAGGTATGTATGAGTGAGTCGAGTCCTGATGTAGGTCGACTACGCATCGCGGTGGTTATGATATCATGCAATAGGCGGCGAGGATAACGTTCCGGAGCTCTCAGACTCGCCATCGTCTCCTCCTGCATTGCTGCCACCACCGGCTGCTGTGGTCTTCCCGTTGTTCTTAGACATGGGCGACGATATGAGCGGCTTCGAAACCCCCAGCTTCAGCTTCTTAGCCGGGCTGGGGATCTTCGAGACCTTCTTCTTGGGGGCGACCTCGACCGTTGAGCCTTCCGCGTCATCATCAAGCTTGTGTTCGACAATCAGCGAAGAGCCTGTCTTGACCTTCTCCTTCTTTGTGCCTGCGCTGCCCTTCTGCTTGACCAGTTTCTTAGTCACGTTCGCAGCTGTGGGCTTCAGCTTCTTCTTCTTGGGGGCGTCGTTGTCAGTGTCATCATCCTCGTCCATCTCATCACCATCTCTCTTCTTGGGACTGCCCGCTCTTGAACCGGCCGCGGGAGTTCCCCTTTGACTAGAAGGTGGAGTTCCGTCGGCGTTCCCGTTCCCATTGCCGTTGCCGTTGCCGTTGCCGTTGCCATTGCTAATCTTCTGTGCGGCTGCGCGGCTGGCATTGCGACCGCTGTTGCCGATGCATGAGCCCATGTGATTGTTCAAACGTGTGACAAGAATGCACCGTTTGCATTTGCTGCAGGTGGCTGACGGGAATGGAAGCATATTCGGTGGTCGCGAAGAGGCACCTCCACTAGGGACTCCTCCGTCAGGCGTCGGCGTCTTACCCGGCGAATCTGACTGAGCCTCGAGCTTCTTTTCCATGTCCTTCTTCTTCTTGCCTCTACCGGGTCCCTGTGCCACCCATGTCTGTCCGTAGATGTCGTAGCCGGGCTTGTCAATGTACGGATGTTTCTTGCAATAGATGACACTCGGATCGGGTTTCCGCGCGCCTTTGCCGTCTGTGGGATAGAGTAGGCGGGGCAGATGACATCTCGGGCAGACGATGTCCTTGGTCGTGACGAGCGGGTTCCCCTTCAGCAGCACCTTTCCCTCGTCGTAGGTGGCGGCGTCGGTCTCGACCTTGACATCGGGGCGGGCGTCGGGGGTGGAAGAGTCTGACGCATCGGAAGCCAGCTTCTCGACACGGATGGCGGCGGTCGCAGCGCGGGCGACCTTCTCGTCCCGGTGGACCTTGATTAATAAGTCGTGCATGATGTTGTAGAGTAGATCGTCGAGCACAGCATGTGCCTACAGCGCCCTGGTGTCAGCATCCGCCATGATCATGATCACTGCTGCCCTGCCGACCGGTTGTGGTTGTGGTCGTGAGAGCTCTCACTGCCGCAGAGCCGGTCGCGAGGGTGATACACGGCTGCCAACTTACGAGCTTGTCCATACTGCCGGCATCGTCAGAAGCTTTGATGACCCCTGCCTTGCCGGAGTTCGACGACGACGCCATGCTGCGCAGGAGATGTCGGCTGTCCGCCCGCTGTCCGCTGTGAATACCTTAAGGACGAGACCCAGCGTTTGCGGGATTGCGCTGTCAACAGCCTCCTATTCTCCACACTCAGCTGGCTGATGCGCGATGCAAGGTGGTGTGCAGGTGTGTGAGAAGGGATGATGAAAGAATTCCAAGGGAGTGGCTCTGTAGACCGTATGCGTAAGTTTCCAGGAGGGTACCCACAGCCAATCAATTCAATGTTGGAAGGTGTCAGGGACTTTGCGAATTTCCGCTGGTTCCTCAGGGTGTTCTAATTTTAAACTCCGACCCCACCGTAAACTCCAGTGCAACCAACACTTGGAAGTGGCAGTTTGCAGTTAAGGAAGGTACAACCATTCCTCGGTGTTGAATGCGCCGGGGATTTTGCACAATTGTTATAGTGAAGACTTATGATTGGGCTGATGTTGCATAAGAACATTGAAACCGGAATGAACGCTGTGCATAGGAGGATAAGTGAAGCTACAGAGCAGGGTACAAGACAGGGCGAGTTGCAATAGTGTACATGTAAGCCAGAGTTACATAACATATTGATCCATTGAATTCGACTGCACGTGTTCAAGAAACAGATACCCGTGCTACGCCCCACTTTATTCAGGATTCGCCCGGGCTCACCAGCTAAAGCTGGTGCTGGACACCAAAACACCCAGTTTTTCGACCTATCTAACTAGAAACGCCTCAACCACCTGCAACTGTGGCCAGATTCGTAGATTTCCGCCGGTGCCAGTCTCCCAGAAAGCCTCTGTTTGCGTGACTCTTTTGCTGCTTCGGAAAAACAGCGTTTCGCAGTATTGCGAGCCCTTAGATCTGCTGCTTCAACCATCTTCCTCGCCTTGACTATCTGGTCTTCTTCCTTCTGCTGGACCATCCGCCGGCCATCAGCTACTGTCAACACCCCTCCTGACTTCAATAAAGTATTCTTGGTAGCCCGGCGTTATTTTTGAACACACTCAGCATATTTAGTCCTCCCCAGGTCTCTTTTAGTCTGGACTAGTTCTGTGGCACTTATTAGAGACCCTTTGATAAAGCGGTTAATATTAGCAGCAAACTCAGGATCAAGACTTTCGTCGCTTTTCAGCGCTGTGTCTAGCTTATCAGCCACCTTGTTGATCTGGTGCAAGGTCATTGGCGTGCTAAATGGCGAGGAACCTGCCAAGGTAGGGGGAATAGGTGTCCTTTTTGGCTGCCGTTCTTCTAGGCTTTGAAGCACCGGCAGCGGGTTATATGGCCAGATACCAGTCTTCTGGAAGGCAGAGAGAATCGTACTAGACTTGAATGCTTGCTGGCGGACCTGCTGAATACAGCTAAGAAACTCAAGCTTCGTGATGTTTATCAGGCCATGACGGACCATTAAGTCCAGTACCTTTGCGTGATAATGCTTCAGTGGCTGGAAGACTACCACGTCTAGCGGCTACAGCAAGTGCGTCAGGTTTGGAGGCATGCCAAAAGGGATGATGCCGTGGTCTTCGCAATATTGAATAAATTCAATTGTATAGTGTGAACCATGGCCATCTAGAATAAGGAGCTGTTTTGTCCCAATGGCCTTTATCACTGTGTATTTTTCAAAATGCTTTAGCCATTCCAAGCTGATTTGATCGTTTGAATAGCCGCTAGAAGAAGGGATAATAGCTGTATCTCCATGTAGTTCAGGTTGTTGATACCATTGGGCCATATGGTACTGGCCTGCCAGAATCAAAAAGGCTGGTATGTATTCTCCACCCGCAAAGATGGCTTCGATAGCAGTAACAGATTCCCTATTTTCAGGGGTGCTGAAATAATGGGCTCTCTTTCATTTGGTGACGATAAGCTGGTTCTTTCCAACACCTATGCGAAAGCCAGTCTCGTCCATGTTCCAGATATCTTCGGGAGGGATACCCTCTGCTTTGCATGGCTCCTTGAGCTTCTGGAAGTACTGAGCAACTCGCTTGACGTCTTCTGATGCCTCCCGGTCCGCATGAAGCTGCTTCTGAAGCCGCTGGTGGTATCTATAGCGCTTAATAAAGCAACTGGTCCATTTTTGGCTAACAGTAGGTGGGCTGTTCCGTATAGCTGAAGGCGCTCGCTCGCTCAGAATGTGATTTGCAGCGTCGGTAATAAACTCAGCGCGTACAGCAAGATTAATACGATCAAGACGATCAATATAACGACATATTGCAACCTCTTCAGCAGGTGTTAGCTTCGTGTTTGCTGCTGGTTGGCCTTTTCTTGCTGGACGGCCCTTGAGACAGTGTCGAAGGCGATCGCGAGATACGCCAAATTCATGGGCTACCGTGGCGACTTTCGAACTGGAATGGGTTCCAATATGCTGGACAGCTTCCTGCAAGCGTGCTTGCATTTTACCGAATTGAATATGCTTTGAAGCTGCTGAAGAAAAGTGTGATCTAGAGGGAATGGTCGAAAAACTGGGTGTTTTGGTGATCTGGGTGTTTTGGTGTCCAGCACCAGCTTTAGCTGGTGAGCCCGGGCGAATCCTGAATAAAGTGGGGCGTGGCACGGGTAGTAGTATCATATGTTTCGCGGTGTCGTTTCAATAGCAGCAAAGAGTTATTACTCTACCACAAGGTACACATGAAGCCATACGAATGTATCGAGGGCACCCTTACACGCTTGCCATTGCAAGGAATGATCAAAGCTGCAGTTTTTTCGCCTTGTGTACATTTGGACCTTAACTCTCACACTATAGCGGGAACACTCTTGATTCGAACAGTCCAAAACACATGAAATCAGGAATGTTGCTGGGCGTACCTGAATGCGAGGTGGCACGATGCCCGATCCCTGCTCCCGTCGCCGGGTGGGACCGACGGGAGGCCAGAAAACGCGCCAGGCCCACCACTTAACGCGGTCTGGCCTTTACTAGTACAACCGTAGTCCGGGATAGCTACCTATGCGTGTCTACATCTACCACTCCCTTCAGGTTCGTCTTCAGTGACAGACTTTCTCGTTCTCCTTCAGCTCATTCGTCTCCCAGTGTAGCCTCTACCTCTACCGTCCAGTCCCAACCATGTCCTTGCCCTCGTCCAACGCCAATGGGCAGTCCTCGATACGGAACTTCTTCCGCCCCAAACACCAGCAGCCCGCCTACGCTCCCCCTCCGTCCACATCGACGACAATGTCAACCTCGACACCGACGGCCTCACCTGCTGTTGCTGCTTCGCCACCTCCACAATCGACGTCATACGGAATAAGTCCCCAAACAGCTCCCCAAGCAGCTCCCCCAGCATCACCACCGGCCGCCTCATCCAGACCGCCATCCCTACACCCCCAAGCCAGTATATCGCCCGTCCTGCCCGAGCACGTCCCCGCCCTGCGGCGCGTGACCTCCCTAATCCTGCCCGTCAACTACCCAGACTCGTTCTACGCGCGGCTCTCGGACCCGCTGTCGTCCGGCGCCTTCAGCCGCGTGCTGCTCTGGAGGGACGAACCCAACGATAACAACACAAACACACCAGCCAAGGTGATCGGCGGTCTAGTCTGCCGGCCGGAGCCCTCGCCCTTCCCGACGAAGACGAAGACGAACGCGCTCTACATCCAATCCCTAGTCCTCCTCTCCCCCTACCGGTCTCTCGGCCTAGCAGCCGCCCTCCTCGACGAAGTCACACATACCGCGTCGCAAAGCCCCCAATTCGCCTGCGAGACCGTGTACGCGCATGTCTGGACCGAGAACGCCGAGGGCCTGCGCTGGTACCTGGCGCGCGGGTTCGTGTGTACCGAGGAAGTGAAAGGGTACTACTACAAGCTGCGCCCGGACAGCGCGTGGATCGTGCGGCGGGAAATCGCCGGGGGTGGGGGCCCGCCGAGTGGTAGTAGTAGTGTGCTTGGATTCGATGCTGTTGGTAGGCAGCTGGAGAACGATGCCTTGACGAGGACTAGGAATAGCCCAGCAATCCCAGGCAGCGTCACGGCCGCGGCTGCGAACCTACCCCTGAACTCGCGCAGTTCGAACGCAACCACCTCCGCACCCACACCGCCCGCTCCCGCGACGACAGCATCCACACTCTCCCCACCCCAGCCCTCCTCCAAATCCCCAAGCACCCGCCCCCTAATATCCCCAACGCAGGCCCCGGGCGCCGGCACGGGCATGTCGTACCAGAACACGCGGCCCGAGACGGAGTGGAACGACCTGCCGGCCGAGATGCACACGCCGCAGCGCATCAACAGCAACAGCAACACTTTGAGCGTGCCGCCGAGCGGCGTCAGCTCCGGCGCCAGCTCGCGGAGCAGCTCTGCTGTGCGGAAGAAGAGGGACCGGGCGTATCCTGCTGCTGCGTTTGGGAAGTGAAGTGAATGATTAAAGAGAGAGAATGGGGAAGATGAATGATGGAGCAGCGCCTGTCCGCACCCGCGCATGAATGTTGGATGTCTGGGTAATGCATCACGGGTGAGGTGTATAGGCTATAGGCGGTCGACCGTAGGGAGTTGAAAAAAGGGGTGGGGTGCCGGTGGAAACGCAAACCCTTTCCTCGCTCGGCACCAACTCCTACTCGCTCCTACTTCTCACTCTCCTTCTTATTCTTACTCGCAAGAACAAGAGAGAGGAAAAAAGGGCAGACTAGACTGACTAGGTCCAATGCGAACACTAGCTGATACATCACGGCAGCATTGAGTACCAGACCATTCAATCTATTGCATTGCATTGCATTGCATTGAGCGAGGAGCACTGGGGGGTGGGACTCCTATCTGGCACGTCGTTACAACCGGGGAACGAGAGAACGAGGCAATGAGGGACGGCGGGCCCGTTGGACTGCGAATGTGTATGAATTGACTATTAGATGTTTAGACGGGTATCATCACATGGGACGTGGCGCAGCAAAACAAAAAAGGGGATCCGGTGGGAAGAGCTGAAAAGGGGGTTTCCGAGTCACTTCAAAATTGGCATCCTTTTGGAGAAGGAATAGACCGAGAGAGGGGGTAAGACAAACATGGAGTTTATTGAGATTTGATACATTCCTCATTTATAATTCATGTATGTAATGTGCCACACATCACGTATCGCACCCATGGACCCGGCCGTTTCGTCCGTCATCCACCAGTTCACCAGTCAACCAGTGTTCCCAGAAGCGTAATGCATTAGGTAAGTCTTCCATTACATGCTGTTTTCTCAAACAAACACATCAGTCATGATTCGCCTATGACAGCGTCGTCGTCTCTCCAACCGTCGGCAAGACACCCGCGAGCTTCTGGGCAGCATTGTTCCTCACAGCGTTGAGGTAGTCTACTGGGCCCTTCTTCTCCATGCCTGCGGCAACCAGCGCGATGAGGGCTGCGCCTACACCGCTGCCGTCTTTGGCGATGCCAATACGGATCCTCTGCGCTCCAGCAGGTCCGATGCCATCAATTGCAGCAAGGGCCTCGTAGATCATGTCCCTGAAGAAAGGGTAGTGCTCCACAAGGCTACCGTCCACGCCGATGTCAATTGGCTCGTCCGAAGCCTCGCTGAGCTTGCCGCTTTGTAAAACAGTAGCACCGAGTGCTACAGCAGCGAGTCTGGCAGCACGACGGCCAACGGCATAGGATATCTCCTTGAATGCCTGCGTGTCCTCAAACGAGGCCGAGTCTACCTGGAGCTCCTTCTCAAGTTGCATGCGGAGAGTCGAGTGCTCCGGTGTGTTGTCGGCCACGGCGATCGACATCAGAGAGCTGTCGAGACCCCACTGCTTATGTAGGCTCGAGCCGGAACCGATATTTGTCGTGGATCTCCAGTCATTCGTGCTCGAGTTGTCATCCTTGAAAAGAGCGATATTGGGGTTCTTCACCATATCGACAAGGACCAGACGAACGATCTCGCCCAGGAACATGCCAGATACCCGCTTCTCAAACATCTGAATGCCGGGGTTGACGCTCTTCTTGTCCAGCTCTATGTCGTACGAGGTGTTAGGCAGCACGTTCAGTTGGTTATCGAAGGAACCCCACTCGGTGTTGATAACCATATCACCAGTCGACTTGTCGTACTCGCCATCCACAGACTTTTGTATGTTTACCACCTTTTCGACGTAGGCACCGTTGGTACCCGTCCCGAATATGGCTCCCAGAAGGGTTGAAGTCTTGCCCGGCGAGGTATATGAGCGAGCCATCAGAGTACCGACCGTGTCGTTGACCAGAGCCGCAACCTTGACAGGAAGGTGAAGCAAGTCGATCTCTTGCTGCAGCAAGGCACACACGTCTTTTCCAACCGCATCAGGAATATCGAAGCCCTTCGTCCATCTTATCAGGGTGCCCTTGTTGATGCCGAACTGCTGAACAGGAAAGCTGAATGTGAAACCGAGTCGGAAGATATGCTCGTCTCGGAAGCCATCGGGAGTGCTTATGGTGTTCCGCCGTCGGATATGGGCTTCGAAGTGGTCTTCGTGGTGGGTTTTGAGAAACTGTTCGATCTGCTTTGCCAAGAAGGCAAAGAGCTCCTGTGCTGTTTTGGCAACCATCAACTCCTTGGGAATCGCAACTTTGCTGTAGGTAAGGTTGAAAGTGGTGTCGCCATTGAGGTGTATGGAGCAGACACGGAAGTTTGTGCCTCCAAGATCAACAGCCAAGTACAGCCCCTAAGTATTTGTCAGTCGCTAGGTATAGTGAGAGACTTGTCGAGGGAAGTAGTACCTTTTCGGTGCCGTTTGGAACACCAGTGACGTACGTCGGGATCTGGCTCATACTTGTGCCATCCTTCTGCAACCCCTCGTCTGGAGAGTTGTCAGTCGGAGCTCGTGATTGGCTGGTACTACATCGGAGTCGTACTCATCTGTCGCAGAAACTCCTTGACGCCATTGTTGACATCAGTGCCCGTGTAGTCGAACTGGGCGACGATGCGCTTCGTCTCCTGAACCAAGGGGCTCTCCATTGCGGGTGCTCTTGACACGGGCGGTGCGGTGGGGAAGGGTTGAGGACTCTCGCAGACAGAGTCGTCAAGGACAAAAGCTGGCGGAGAGGAGACGGTTCGAGAGAATGGATGCGAAGTGAATATCCTGGAGTACTGGAACTTGACGTCGGTTAGGAAGAGCTGTGCGACCTGTATTGGAGGGGCAGTCAGTAATTGCGCCGAAGGTTTTGATGCGGGGAGCCCCAGCTTTGAGCTAATAAGACAAAATATCCCTCGTCCAACGTCATGTCACGGCTAATAAACTTACCAAGACCAGGATCAGGAAGGTCACGGAGAAGACGTGTATGAAAGTGAGGGTCGGGCGGTGAACTGCCACGATGCTGGGCGTCTTCTGTGTCTTCTGTCTCCGGTGATGGTCGTCTACCGCAGCTGGGAAGGGAGACGCAGTCGTGATGGAGGGGTCGAGGTCGGGATCATCATCAGCTCTGGCGCTGAAGAAGCGCCAGGCTTTAAAGGCTGAGGACAGCGTGGTGGGAGGTGAAGGAGCCACGGCGAGTTTCGCGGGGCTATTAGTGGGGTCGACGTGGTATAAGTCTGGAGCGTCTGGAGACGCCGCGAGGGGAGCCGTGTTCAATGGTGGAGGACTGCACTCTGCTGCCGGGGTGCACCTGCGGCTCAAGGAGCGAGCCCGAGGTTGCACTGATGAGTTCTCTTCTCTTGCCTTGGCTGGGTTCTATCTGCAACTGACAGCCAACCCGATAGTGCTGCTACCTTGTTGTGTGCCGAGGCGGAAACAGACAGACGACTTCGCTGGTCGCCTTCCAACTTCTGTTGGCGAAAACGGGCCGGTATGCGTGCAAACAACTGCAGCTTTTGACTACACGCAGGGGCAATGAGGTCATGGGCCACAGGAGACGGTCCACCCCTGGCTAGAACCAGGCTAGAACAGGCTGCTGAGTCGGGCACGTCGGGTGGTGAAGATCGGGCTCGGAATCTGGCGATCGGTCAAATGTGCGAACTCGGGGGGCTGAACCACAAAAAACTCGTGCTGTCGCTGCTACACCGTGTCGCGTCCTCCCAGTCGGACATGAAAGAGGCGCAATCGTTCCGTGCGGATGGATCCGAGTCTTCACAATGCCTTTTTATAGTCGACGGGGATGGCTCGTTCAGTGATCAGGTCGCTGTTTCGGTGACTTGTTTCAAGGTGGCCAATGATTCAGAGGCTTGGCTGATCAGCTGCCGGCGGAATGGGCGACGAATAGACGAACATGCAGACAAGTGCAGAAAAACCAGGCCTTCAAATGAACCGTAGGATTCGTACAGGATCGGACGCAATACGATAAGAACTTCCAAACGGGTCTAGGTAGGTAGAGTCTAGACTGACAAGGTGGGGGTTTTAGACACGCCGGGTCCTGTGATTAGGAGGTGAGACGGAAAGAGCAGTTCGCCGAAGGGGTATCATGAAATAGGAACGGGCACGAGAGACGGCAGAGAGGACTAGAAGAGACAGAAAGAGAGATGCAGGAGAGGCCGTGATGAAGCTGATTGTTGTAGTATGAATGGCGGTCGACGATCAAGACCTCGGTCAAGTCAAGCTTCGGGTCACGCAGATCACGGATGGCGGTGGACGTTTGGGAAAGAGCGGGGCTCCACGTTCTAGCAATGCCTGGTAAGTTGTCGTGGGGAAGGAAAGGGGGGAGCGTGCAAGCCATTGACTCAAATGTAGAAGCCACCAGTGCACCACATGAGATTGCAGTTTGCTCATCTCAGATGTTTCATGATAATCGGCAGTACCATTCATTTCGGAGAGGCTGGGCGCGAAACAACGGACTAATAGGGAGGTCGACTTCGGGGGATGCGACTTCCCCCAACTTCCCCAGACGCAGATCAATATTTTCGGTATTATCAAGCAGAACAAATAGGATGTCAAGATAATCTAGCAATTGAATCGGCGTGCGGAGATGTACTTCTGATCGCACATCGAATAGTCCTCGTCTTCTCCAGGCTGATTACACCACAATTTCCGACACCAAAACGAGCAAACTTGACAACCTGTCTACATCGTGAGTCACTACATCCATGGTCATCCAACCCCTATTTATGGCTCAGATATGCTTATTGCATCATCTTGAATCGCAGTCAGCAGTCCCATGGTCAATCAATGCATCGAGTGTCGAATTTCGCAATGAGCAAACGACAATGCTTGTCTGTAATACGTGCCCCACAGCGGTCTAAGGTATGACAGCAAATGGCCCCAACACCAAACTCCAACCTTGGAAGTCGGCACTCACCCCGTGATATTGTTGCATAACCGCAAAAAATATACAGGCGAGTAGTCTACAACGAAGCGTGCAAGATGGATGCACCCATGCAAAACTTTGTCGTGCGACACATCGCCTGCTCGAAGAAGTCTACTTCGTCTCTACAGATAGAGCAGAGGAGGCATCCCGACTACGATGGCCTCCGGATCTAAGTGAAGTTTCATGCCTAATTCTGGTGTATATGCGAGTCTGTAACGGCCCGAAGAGCAGACATCTATAATCATGATCAGGTTCCGAAGGCTCTGAATATCGCTTGCGGAGCGCCCGTTTCAAGGAACAGCGTATGCCAGGAGAAAGGGGCAACTCCCGCGTCCTGCATAGAGAACACTGGAACATAATAACGTCCTTGAGAGAGTATCGCCGATGAGAATCCTCAGGATATGGCGAGTTAAGATTCCGTAAGATATGCAGACGCCGCACGATGACTCCATGAGTGACCTAGGTAGAGGGGGCAACTCGCAATGTTAACACGCTTCATCGAGCCATCGTGTCCACTCCTGCTTCGGTATAGCTTGGGTAAGGGCGCAACGATCTTCCATACCCTCTTAGATCAGAAGCCGTTCACCATGAGTATGTCTGGGGCGTTTTCCGAGACTATCCTGCGTAGTCGGAATCGAACGTCTCTCGTCGACGCGAGCCCCTGTCTCCTCAAATGTGTTGCTCACCCCACCGCTCGGTTCCACCCAAGACAACCAGAGATAACCATCGAAAGGAGCGAAATGTATATGAGTACCATGAAGAACGGCGAGAGGAGTCAAGTGTTGGGACGTACGCACATGCATCCAGCAACGGTTGTTTGCCTGCAGCTGCCGAGCCCGATGAGATCGTCATATGCTTGTGAATTCAAAGTCACTTTGTTTCCAGAGCCCCCACCCAGCGACTCACTGCATGGCAGAGCCGTCCACGCTCAGCTTTGAAGTCAAGTCTCGAAGAAATCAATCGATCTGCTCTCAAGCCAAAGCCACTGTCTACTGGCTTACTCTCCTATTCGACCCCTTTCCACTCCATCACCTTCCCCCCCCCCAGGCACAACCTTCCATAGTATCTGAAACACACGAGAATGACCCTGTCGAATCAAACCCCCGCCCTGAGAACCACCTTGTTCTCCAAGAGCCCATTGTGCCTTGCACCCCTTTACTCCGCTTTGTCCCTCAACATCAACCCTCAAAGAGCCAGCCCCTGACTCACAAAGCGATTCTCCCCAGGGATCACCTTGGAACAAACAGCAAACCACGCATTGTGCGACTTCCAGAATGGTCCTTGTCACCACAATGAACGTTGACTCTTCCCATGATGGACCTAGTCGTGTTTGGGAAATGTATATAACTCAGCAAGCCCGACCCATCGCCATCTCTCAGCTCCTGCATCAAACAGTGTAGTAAGATACCATCGCGCGAACAAGACTTAAGTAACGGAAAATTAAGTATCGGTACAGATAGCTAGTCCACAAAACACAATAGAAAACAGCAAACATGGGTCTCTTCAGCAGCATCAGCAACATCGCGGGTAGCAGCTCCGGCTCTGGTTCAGGTTCCAACACCGGCTCCGGGTCTGGCTCAGGCTCGTCGGGCTCTGGTTCGGGTTCGGGTTCGAACTTTGTCTCGGGAGACAAAGCTGGGGAACAGATGTACTGGAAGTACAAGGGCAAGCAGGGGACAGAGATCCGCCACTACGACAACGCGCAAGACACGTCCACCCCCCGGAGGCCGGTTCGGTAAGTACCAACTTACTTGCTAAGGCACTGAGCCGAGAGCATGCCTTAGTTATTTCGTAGGGGGGTAGTAAATGCATGCTATTTAGACTGACCGAATTAATATCTTGACCCCTTGTCGAATTCGTCTGCATCGTATTCTGTAAGCTTCTCCGTGACCATCAGCTCCACGTCAACATACGTCCTGCTCCGTTCGTGCATGCAGCCGCCCACCCAACACGCTGGGGAATGCACACTTTTCCAAAGGTGATACACTCCCCAGCCATAAGTCTCCGAGCATCCCTGTTTTACACCAAAACACCCCAGCTTTACGCGATCGTGATAAATCGAGTAAAATAGATACAACTTAAGTACTTATAGTACATATAGTTAAATTTACTGGAATATTAAAATGATTTATTTAAAAACTTTGACATCTTAAAGATAAAGGTCGTAAATATTACTTTATTAAAGGTTAAATTTTCGATAAAATAACTTTCTAATATATCTATTTCTTTAAAAATCTATCACATAAGGTTTTTCGTCTTATACATGTATTACATGCCATTTAATATTATATAACTTTATTACGACTTATACGATTTTTTAAATATTTCTTATAGCTTTATTAAGATTTAAGATTTAAGATTTTAAACTTTACTTTTATATATCTATTTCTTAATATTTTAGTCGCTAAGAAAGTAAATATTTAGAAATCAGTTACGAAAACTTCAGCATTTCCAAATATTAGTTTCTTATAATATCTCATTTTAAAAAGCTTTAAGTCTTTAGTTATAAAAGCGTAAAGGTAGGGCATTTTGGTGTAAATGCGGGGATGCTCGGAGACTTATGGCGGGTCAGTGTAGCAGTACCGGTAACGCTGTGAATCCGAGGTCGAGCCGGCCCTCGCGATCGCAGTTCTCAGCCAACCTGATCGAGCTCAGACGCAAATTTCAAAAAGCCTCACCACTACCAATGATGAAGCTTGATTATATTGCGACGCCAGCTGCAGCTGACTGCCTAATCACGTGTCCGTCCCGGGTCAGCCAACCACGACTGCAGACATCTCGACGCATCTGACTGCATTGCTTGACGCAGAGTGCAGATCAGATGCGACACCACTACGGGGAGGCCGACTTGGTCCTCTCAGTAAGCCTTTCGGATCCCAGCTCCATAAGGCATTTTATGAGGTGGACTTCTGTATCGACAGGTGTCTGGTCTGTTCGATCCGGGCTACTTTCCCGTGTCCTATTTTCGATCTTTCGCATATCCTGCGAGTATGAGGCGAGCGGCAGTCGGTCGGCGAGAGTGAAGACTCATCTGGTCCGAGGGATCGAGATTTCCAACGCTCAAGCAAGACGCAAGCGCGACGAAATTGCTGCTGCTCTCGTGGGGATGGAGCTGAACAACCTGTGTTACACGCAATTCTTTGTCGGGTGAGATGGGTAATCTCCCCGTCGACGCAGTAGCATCAAGGAGCCCCTTTTCCCAACAGCTGCAGACCCCAGACAGAGGTGATTTAGATACCTTGATCGCATGAGTTGGGGGCCACTGCAACGGTCGAAGGTGATCCGTCGCCCCCAAGTCCTCGAGTTCTGTTCCCGACACATGCTCTTCCAACTGTGCGGACAGCCACGTGCAGTCAGTCAACTAATGCAGGGAGCCGGTTCCTCGTAAGGACCGCAGGGAGCAATACGTCGGTAAGCCGCCAAAAGTTGCGACCTAACGTGAGCGAGCCAGTCATGGCAGCCAGGCGCAACCTACATTCGGCTGTCATCATAGTCGAAATAGGGCAGACGACGCGAAGAAGGTCCACTTGGTCCGAGGATCTTCTAGTAGCCGTGATAGCCAAGCGCAGGCCATGCACGCAGGGCACTGCGCGAATCCTTCGTACGTACACGGCCGAGTCGCTGGCCAGAATCCTTGATGAAACGTGGAGCGGAGGAAGCTGTGGAGTGTTAGGAGTGCGGCTGAGCAGATGTTCGAGGTTTCCAGAATCCAGACTCCAGCTGCACACATGAAGATCGCTTCAGAATAGGTACCTAAGTCATGCAGTGAGTTGTGGCTGAAGCTACCGC